GAGGGGGGTGGAGGTGGCCCACTCCCCACTCTTGTCCTCAACAACTTTGATTGGAAGCTTGGGCTAGAGAGAGTCTGAGGCCTGGGGAGGAGTCCAGACTCCTGGGGTACTTGGGCAAGTTGTTTCGCTTCCTCACCTGGCAAAGTGAGTGGGTTACACTGGGTGAGCTCTGTGGTCTCTTCAAATCCTCACATTCTCTGATTCTAATCTTTAAATGGAGTACATCTCAAACATGATTAGATGTCTCAGAAGAAATATAATGGATGATCTGCCAAGATTTTCAAAAAGGTGCTGCAAACCACAGCACCAAGTGTAAGCCTGCTCCTTGTTCTGGGTAGGTTGGGCGGGGCAGGAGCCTTCCTGTGAGACTTTCAGTGAACTGCCTTGTCAGCCCCAGGCTAGCTCAGGCCTTCTCTGTTTTGTATCTTATTTTCTTGTGTGTGTGTGCATATATTACATATATACATATATGTACATATACATATACACACATCTATATGTATATACACACACATACATATGTATATGTGTATATATATATATTTTTTACATCATTGTTGCTTTTTGGACAATACTCTTTCTCCCCTAGGTGTGGTTGCCATATTTCTCCCACCACCAAAGCACCACAGTCCCTTGTGCTCACTCCACCCTGTTTTTTATTTTTGAGCTCTGAGCCTCTTGGATTCCTGGGGCAGAGAGAGTCCCTCCTTAGACTTGGGCTCTATGCTGTGGTTTCCTTTACCTGTGTGGCTACTTACCAATCTTCCACCAACATGTGGAGTTTATACCTAAACATGTTTTTATTTCTCTATTAATTTATAGGATTCTCAAGAGGGAGAATAATCAAGTACTTATGGCCAGTTGGCCATGGTTCTTTTAACTAAAGGATGTGCTTTTGATTTTCTGCTCTTTCTTAAGTCAAAGAGGCATATTCTAATGTCTGTATTTTTCCTGGTTTGCTTGTGCCTGTTTTTAGGGAAAGTGCCCTACCTATTAGATGTTTAACTTCTTTTGGTTTGTTCTGTTTGTTCATTCTCATAATTGAAGAATGAAGCAATTTTAAGAACTTCTAATATTTGATCACAGACTTATAGATTTAATGTTTTAATCATAGTTTAGTGACTTTTCGAGTTTTCTTCATGGAAGATGACTTTTGCCTCATTTCCTAAGAATGATGCCTCATTTCTTAGACAGAAGTAGAAAGGCCCCCTGGGTATTAAGAATGATGGTCAGAGAAAGTCTCAGGCATAGGCTGCTACTCTGAGCCTCATTCTTCCCTGCTTATGTGTTTGAGGGCGCAGTCTCTCACTCTGGCTCTCACCAGGCAGCCTCTTCCCTCAAGCAGGCATGGCTCTTGATAGAGCTGAGTTTCATTTCCTGCTGTGTTCTCTGGACTCATGAGTACCACGTTTAGTCCTAAACAGAATGAAGTGGCCAGGGGCAAGAGGAATCTGGGTCTCAGGGTATCGCTTCTTTGTTTGCACAAAGGAATGTCATTTTGGCTTTATTTCCAGGTGGCAGGGAGGGAGATGGGGACCTTCAGGTCAAACCATTGCCCCATCTCCCCCATATGGTCCCAATCACTCCCAAAGGGCCGATGGTCATTAAGATCATTTCCTACCCTTGCAATCCCCAAGCAATGGCTCAGCCCCTTTCTCCCTTTCACAAGCCCCCCCCCCCATTGATTTCAGACACAAGCTCCCCGACACAAAAGTAAATGCAAAAGCAGTTTCTTTCCACAATCTGTGTTTTCTAAATTTTCTACAATTCAGACATTCTTGGATCCCCTGAAGAGTATTTAAAATGAATGGATTTGTCTGGAGCTAAAACTAAAACTCAAGAATCTGAGTTGTGGTCTGGAAGCGCTTGCTGTGATTTTCTGTTGTATTTCAACCTGATTGCTTGGCAAATTCATGGCAGTATGAGCCGACAGATTGTAATAGTCTGTAACTGAGACCCCTTCTGCCCTGGGGTTTTAGCTTTTCAAACACAACAGTCATAAATAGTGTTGCTTTAGGATTTCCTCCCTCATGTGCTCATTAAAACCTTAGAAATGCTATTAAAATAAACTCAAAACCCCACAGTTGATACTCTAAATTGGTTAAAAGGAGGTAACACTGTAAGCTAGCATTTTCTAGTATTGCTGTTGTTGTTTTTAATAATTATTTGCAAAGTGTTCTTCAGTATAGGAGAATAATAGCCGATTCTGAGGGAATGCTTAAGCCATTGATGTTTTCTTATCCTTCGAAACCCCAAAGCTCTGATAAAGAGACTGTGTGTTTTCACCCATGTAATGGGGGTAGGCTGGTGTGAGACTCATCGCCCCAGTCTGCCTTTGTCCCTATTCATGGGTGCTCAGGCTCTCAAAATGAGCATTCCTCTTTTGTTTTCTCTGCTCTGAGAATATTTTTAGATGTGTGTACTGCGGCTTTTTCAGAGTAGTGGGGAAGATGTCCGGGTAATGAGGAAAAGAATATGCTCTCATTAGGGCCGGTTTCCATCTTAGGGAATTTTGTGTGTGTGTTCACAAGACATCTTTTTATTCCATACCCAGAAATATTCTTTAGTGAGGCCCTGAGCCTGAGGACCAGCAGGATGGGCTATTTCTAAAGTTTCCTTCCTGTTGAAGCAGCAACCTTAAAACATACTGCCAGGCTAGTTTCTGTGGTGAGCCCTGACTTGGTCTCCTAGGCTGCCTCCCTAAGCACTACCATAGTTTTGAATCAGGCTACTCTGAAAAGCTTCTGGTCACCTCATGAAAAGCCCTCACCATTTCCAGAACTATTTAATTCCTCATGCTCTCCTGGTAGCGTTACATCTAGTTTGATGTGATATGACCTTGGTGAGGGGAGAGGCTGTTTTTTTGTATGTTCCCGTGGCATCTGGCACAAGTCAGATCTTATGAAATACTTCTTGTGTAAATGAATGCTCTGAGGCAGAAAAGGTCACTTTGCAAATGGCTTGTAAGACTTGTAAACAGTGTGAAAAAGAAGAAGCTGCAGCTGATGAATTTGGGGAGCGTGTTTTGCAGGAGTTACTGCAGCATTTTCTTGGACGCCGTTATGTTTACCCCAGTGCTGGTTGCTTCAAGTGCTCAACTGATCCAAAGACAAGCCCAGGGCTTTCTGGTAGACTTCTAGGAGGAGAAGCCACTACTTCCAGAAGCACTGTCTCCTCCTCAGTAATACTGGCACTAGGAGCAAATAGTGTTTTCAGAAATTACCAATTAGAGCAAAGAGAGAACTTTGCACTGAGCCAGCATAAGTCCTTCCGTGTTCATTGACAGCAATCTTTGGCACGGGTGGTCAACCCTAGCCGATTGAGTGCTGGAGTTCAGACAGCTTGTAACTTTCAGGAAAAGAAAATGAGATGATGTTAAGAGAGTATGGATGCATTAACCGTTCAGCTAGCTATCTTTTAGAAAAGGAATAACAACCCTTTGTATTAAAACAATTTTTTTCCAGTTAAGCATAGGTGGACAACAGTGGTGAGAGCTGGAGAGAGGTCAATTTTTGCTTCCTTAGAAGCTACTGGCTTTGGGGCATAATGCAGAGCAGTGTTGGATAATAGCACAGTCGAGTGAAAGCTGCTTGTGCGTATGTTTAAAACAGTGCTACGTCCAGCATTAGAGAGTGTCTTGTTCGCACAGGACCTATGAGAACCAAATGCTTACTCTAAACACTGTTTTAAAGTTGCCTTGTGCAGATGTGAAGAAGCAGCACAAGAGCACGTGATAGTGCAGTGCAAATGGAGCAGATGTTTTGAGAATACTCTTGGGTGTGATCGTAGAGAGTGCTGGCAGGTGGCAGGGTCTCAAAGAATTGGTTTTGAAAAGAAGCATGAGGCTGGCAAACCATGCGGGTATATGCTTTGCTCTGCATGCTAAGCTACCTAGGAGAACCCACCTGTCCCCCTATTGCACTGTCACCACAAGATTAAGCTGAATGGAAACTTAGCATACTTATAAAAATACTATACAGCAGCTAAAGGAAACCACATGTACGAGGCTTCCTCTCAGCAGAGGTCCTCTTTGTTGCTTTGTGACTCTGTCAGAAGGCTCCGAGGGAGGAGCCCAGGATCTAACTGAGAGTGGTCACCTTACAGAGTCCCTGAACAGGTGTCCAGTGGGGAATACCAAAATGTAGAGTCACAGTCACCTCCAAAGTATTTGGTGGGGGTTTGGGGCTTCCTGACGTTCACTTTCAAGAACTTCAAGAAAAAGCTGGGAACATTCTACCTATCTGCAGATTTTCTCCTCTTTGCATTCTTGATCAGCGGGTAACAACATGGCAGATTTTCTCCTCTTTGTATTCTTGATCAGTGGGTAACAACATGGCAGAAAGAAGAATCTGGATACCAGTTCTTGGGGCTGGCAGGCTCTGACCCCACATGCAACAGAGAGCTTTCTTTTCCATTTATCAGGAGGCTGCTACCTCTTTAAGAGAACTGAGCCATCATCTCTCTTGGGTGACATAAGAACATTTTCGCATGTCTGTTCATTAACCTGGTTTGACTTTAATGATATATTCTTTTAAAATGCGGGGCTGATGGAGACCCAGGCAGACTGGTCTGTGGCCCACCCCTCAGCTCCTTGTAGTGCCCTAAGGATCCTGAGCATAGACGGGTCATCTGCTGCCTGCTGCTGTTTTGCAGAGGGTCTGAGCTGCATGAATAAGAATCACGGCTGTAGTCACATCTGCAAGGAAGCCCCAAGGGGCAGTGTGGCCTGCGAGTGTAGGCCTGGTTTTGAGCTGGCCAAGAACCAGAGAGACTGCGTCTGTAAGTATAGACTGTTGTGCGCCCACACTGGGAACCACCCTACACAGAGGTTGTCTTCTACAGCCCAGTCATCAGAAATGTCCCCTCACAGCACAGCAGGAGCATCAGGGAAGGCATCTGGCAGGAGATACTGACCTTCTCTGAGTACTAAGTGCAGGAGTAGTCACCTAGAGGAGAGGGAGAGGCAGAGTATGGTTTTTAAAGGAGCCGGTTAGGCGGAAATGAAATTCAAGAGTAAAGAATATAAGTGTTGGGGCTTCAGTCTCCCTGTTTCCACAGAATAAAATAAAATTCCCTCATTCTGGCAACCACAGGTCTTTCTTCTTGTCCAAGCTCCATCTGCCTCCTTTCCCAAACACCAGACTCCTTGCCCTTCAGAGAACAGTCCATACTCTGTCTTGTTCACAACCCTTTCCCAAGACCTCCTTCCCTCCTGGCTTGGTGAATTCTCAGTGTCAGTATCCTGCCTAAATGTTAATAATGATCAGAATAATAGCTTCCTTTCTAGGGGGCATTTATGTGCAAAGGCTTACCCAAAGATGTACCACATTCCATTTGATTCTTACTTTTAGGACATATTTGTGGCGAAGGTACAACAACAAAGTCATATAGGGAGCAAGTGGCAAAATAGGAATCCCACCGTCCAGCCCTCAGGCCGTGCTGTGCTACCTCAGCATCTTCCTACAGCCTGGGACAGGGGGCAATTTTGTATTTAGCTCCCACCGCATGTTTATTCCTCAGTTATAGTGCATGAACTCTGGGTTGATTTGTGTATTTATCTGTTTGTCTCCCCAACTATGAGCACCTTCACATCAGGGAACTTGTTCTTACTTTTGACTCCTACTTTTCCCTGGTGCCCAGCACAGGATGTGCCCAGAACAGATGGGTTTAATGAGTGGGGAGGTGAGTGGTGCACTCCAGACACACCTGCCACACACTGACGAAACTCCCATGCATAGTAGGAAACAACAACTGTTAATGGTTCTCCTGAATCTGTATTTCTGTCTGAGGAGACGCTGGGTTTCCCTTTAGGAGCTCTTCCCACAGCCATGATCTTCTGGTAGCCCCTTACAGTTTGCTAGGAGTGGTTGTTTACAGAGAGTAGTTCTTAGTAGTTAAGAAATGAGATAGTTCTGCAGGTGACTTTTCTCCATAGTCCTCATCGCAAAGCAGAGTGCAGCCTCCAGTCTGTCAGACCAGTGTTGATGCCTCCATCATACTCAAACATTAGGCTCAGACAGGCTATTTGTGTTCCTGAAGTGAGACTGTCACTAGGGCTACTGGGGAGCTGGGCAGAGTAGAGATGCTTAACCTAGCTCCAGGTAGTGCAAAAGAAGACCCAGTTCTCCAGGACTTACCTGGCGTGAGAGCCTCAGCATTTCGGTTTCTCCGGGGTCAGTAGAATATGTGAAAGTTTATTTAAATCAATTAAATGTTTGCAGGAGGTTACTGCTCAAATAATATTGACATATTTGAGGGGGAAAATAGAACAAAAATTCCACCACACAACCAATATTTGGTCTTCATTGTTTTATTTGGTTGTATATATATCAATATTTTTTACATAACTAATCACACAAGTTCTTTCTCACATTACAAATGTGTACTTTGTTTTTTTTAAATTAGAAAAATCACAAATGCCCATGTAATAATTCAAAAAGCCTCAAGTATATAACCTCTCCTCGCCCCAAACCCCAGTTTCCTTTCCCAGAAGTAAGCACTGTTTGGTTTGATGAATGGATAATCTCAGTGCCTTATGTATTGATTCATTTTCCTCTCAGTGACCTGTAACCATGGAAATGGAGGGTGTCAGCACTCCTGCGAGGATACGGTTGAAGGCCCCGAGTGTAGCTGCCATCCACAGTACAAGATGCTGGCAGATGGGAGGAGCTGCCTCGGTGAGCAGTGACTCCCACACTGCCCCGGAGTGTGCCCCAGCCCCTCCCCCACAACTGCCCCTACTCCTTAGTCATGTTCAGCACCAGATGAAGGGTATTTCCTATGCATTGTCCCTCAAATGGGCTCCCAGCTGCTTCACATGTGGCAGTGGGAGTGATCCAGACCTGGAAGGGGACCCTCTTTCCTCCTGCTAACTTACTAAGCCTTTTTTCCTTTCCTGAGTGTAACTAGAGTCGGTATTCTGGAGCCTGGGACAACACACTCCAAGAGGCCAGGGAGACATGGAGTTCAAACTAGTTGCTGTGATGACACAGCAGCCTTTACAGCGATCAGGAGCCAGGCTTGCACATTTCAGGCACAGTGCCTGGTCTGCCCTTCATGGCAAGTCCTTTGTACCATGTGGGAGGTTCCCAGAACCAAAGTTCTTTTTGTCCTGGACTTAAGACACTTAATGTACTAAAGTTTATATTCTCCACTGTCTCTGGTTGGTGCAGTAGACCCCAGAAATCTTCTCCATATTTTATGTTTACAAAGACTCTGGGATGTTTAACATGCTGTGTTGCCCACAAAGCCTCTTTATAATGCATTTTTATTGAGTGAACAGAGTCACATATCTTGCATTGTTCTCATATCTGGGATTTCAGCAGAAGTGGTTGTGCAGGGGATGAATAACCTGACTCATTCAGCCTGTGAACTGCTCTCTCTCGTGACTCTTGCAGAGCTAGAGGACACTGCCCTGGAGGTGACTGACAGCAATACCACATCAGTGGTGGATGGGGATAAACGGGTGAAACGGCGGCTGCTCATGGGTAGGTGCCTCGCCAGGCCTCTCTTCACCACTGCCTTGTCAATTTTTCTCCCAGCTTCCTACATCAGGCCTGAACCTGGGGCCCATGACTCTCAGACCAGCTGACCATTGGGAAAAGCTCCTGGCAAGCCCGGGTGTATCTGACTTGACACTGCTGTTGTTCAGTCACCAACCAAGACCCCTGATATTGTGGGAAGAGCACTGTCCCCACCACCAGAATAATGGGTTAGCTCTAGAGCTGTTCCTACTAGCAGACGAGCAGTGTGACTGCCCTGAGCCGCCTCCACCTCCTGGTCTTTCTTTAAAATGATGTAACAGAAGTCCTCCTTCTCAGGGTTATCAGAAAGTTAAGATAACAATGTGCAAAAATGCCCAGTATCGCACGCTTGGGGCTTAGCCATCATTGTCTGTCCCTTTCCTACTGAGTAAGTGACTACAGAGGCACTTTGGGTGATTCTCTTGGTTTTCTGGTCCCACTGTTTCTAATTTAGTCCCTGTTAGTAACAGAAGGAATGAATGGAGAAGAGCAGCATTTGGTTTTGGGGACACAGGAAGGTCCAGCAGCTCCAGTGGAGCTGAAGACGAGAGAGGCTGGTTGTGGGGATCCTTTGCCGTGTTATTTATTTGGAAAAAGCTTCACTTCGCCTACACGAAACTGATCTTCTAGCAGTTTTAGATTTAATAGTCAAGTGAGATATTAACTAGCAGGTGACATTTCTGAGTATTTTTCTGTTATATTAAAATTATTATTTTTGATGGCTAAAAATAGTACATAGAAATAATATAAAATCCTTAAATACGTAACTTGTATTGTTTATAATGAATTGCATCATTTTCTTGTCTCATAACTTCTCTTTTCTCATTTGCCAAAGACCACAGTTTTCAACTTTCCTATTCTTCGCTGAATACCCCCTGCTCTATAGTTCTGAAAAGTGAAGTGTATAGTTTTTTCATTTTACTGAGCTGATATGCAGCTATTTCTTGCTGTCAGTATTAGATACTAACTTTTGACTTCCTATTGCAGAAAACTAAATTGTAGCTCTTTCTGTCCCTTTCCTCATTTCTCCCCCTCAAAATAGTTTTATCACAGCTTAAATCAATATATGTGTTTACAGTATTGTGGCTGTGAATATTTAAATATGACTCACCCCTGAGTCATGTAATAAACTATAATTATATTTCCTTTGCTTCATTTTCTAAGTACCTCTTACCAATACTTTTGCAAACTTCTGACAAAGATCCACCACCCTTTTCAGTGTGTTCAAATAGCTTCTCTCTGCATGTTCAGAATTGTCTTCTTATCCTTGGTGATCTGAAGATTCATATCAGTAATGTCCCTGCCCCTGGGACTGTCCACTAAATTATGTTGATAACTTCATAGGCCTTTTCAATAGGGATAGTCAGGCTTCCTGGTTTGTGGAAATTTCCTTCAATAGTTTCCTGATTCCACTTCTATGTTCTTTCTCCCTGGAACACCTTTATTTGGCTGTTCTAACTCCTGGATTTGTTCTCCAATTTCTTCTCTCTTTATTTACTTATTTTTTAGTTTTGACTTTTATATTTTAAATTTTCAAGAATTTTACTTTGGATCTTAGATCTAGCAGTCTGTTCTAATTTTGTAGATGCTTTTATTAACTCCCTGAAGAAATTAATTATAAGTTTTCACAAACCTTCCTTTTGTCCTTTGTATTAGCTTGGTTTTCTCCATCTTCTTTCTCATATGGTGTATGCGTTTCACAGTAGTGGCTTTTCTGAAATGGCTGCTGTTTCTTGACTGAAATTTTATATTTTATAATGAAATACCAAGAAGTTGATGGATATTCTGTCAGCTGGTGGGCTGGCTAGGCAGTAAATTAGTCGTTTCATTGGGAGATCCTCAAGTGCCTATTATCTGTAGGTTTTTCATTTGAGCAGATCAGTTTAATTGGAGAAGAGCCTTCAATCCCCTGACCTGGGGGACATAGATTTGGCTACCAGCATTTCGAGGGCTGATGAGGTGGAGGGTAAGATTGGAGGTCTCTCTCTTCAGAGTGGAGACTTTCCTGGCTATGCCTCTTCCTTGCTGTCCTAGAGCCCTGAGCTTCTCTAGCCTGACTTCTCAGAAGATAATCTCATCTGTTGCAGCTCAGCTAGGGAGTTTGGGGGCCTATCTGCTTGACAGTTTCTCAGCCAATCTTCCTTTATAGTAATTTAGTACCTCCAATTGCTGGGTCTTCCTGGGATTCTGTGACTCACATGAGCAAGCCATGAGGATTCAGCTTTCTGCTATGCCAGTTACTACCTCCCACTGACAAGCCACTTTTGGAATATTTGACATCTCTTACGCTGCCTTTTGTTTTCTTTGTCCTTTGGATCTTATATTTCTTAAACTCTATTACTTTCATTTTAGTGAGGCTTTGAGAGAAAACAGATAAACATGTGTTCTGTAATACTTAATTAGAACTGAGTTTTCTTCTACCTCTTAACCCCTAGCTTTATAATGAGGTTGCTGTGGAAATAAAATCAGGTTTCTGGATGCTAACAGTTGAATGAATGTTGGATAACACTTGTCTATTGCTTGGAATAGCTGTATGAAATGCAATTAGAATTTGCTTATTGTGCCTCTTCCTGATGGTGCAGCAGGCTAAAGTGCAGCATTGCAAGCTAGCTGCAGCTGCTTCAGTGCCATTTCGATGGAGGTGATCCACAAGGGGCAGCAGACCTTTCCTGTCTTGCATGCTGCTCCCCTCAGCAGTGTACTTCCATTGATCTGTCTATTCTGCTCCCCCACTCTGTCTCTGGTGAATCCTTTCATGGCCCCTGCACCTCTGGCCTGTACCCCAATTCTGTATGCATAAACAAATAAATCTTAAAAAAAAAAAAGAATTTTCTTATTGTTCCTCATCTTGATTTTTTGAGGTCTTTCTCCTTTCAGGAAAAGATAAATTTTCTTTCTTTTTTACTATCCAAAAGGCTAGGTTTATTACCAAAAACAGAGTCAGAGAGAGAGAGAGAGAGAAGAATCAAAGACACTTGCATACACACAAGTGGGCATAAAGAGCTGAGTCCCAGGCGGGCAGCCTTTGGGGGAGAGCGGCCTCTGCCTCTTTGCAAAGTGAAGTGAAGCCCCCACATAGTCATGGTGGACAGGAGAGCTGCTGCAAGGGAGAAGGAACACCTGCACAGGCACAGGCAAGCAGAAGGCTGCTAGTCAAAGGTAAACTTCTAATTGGAGTTAATGGTGGTTACAAGGATGAAGTCAGTGATTTGCTGAAAGAGTGGTTAGGGAAGGCAGCACTTACCTGCTCTTGTTTTGCCCCTTACTCATATCAAAGGGAGTGGGGTCAGGGTTCCAGGAGGAACCTTGCCCCTCCCCGACCACACCTTTGCCCTGTTCTGCAGCTGCATCTGCCACAAATGGTCTGTGTCTCAACAGGAGCTTTTAGTGGTTTCAAATCTGACAGTGAAGGGGAAAGTCCCAGTAGCTTGGGAGAAACATCGCTGACATCCAGGTCACTCTGTCAGGCTACCTTGGGAGATGACACTTATTCAGATGGTGGAGAGCAACTTTTCTCGATTATCTCACCTGAAGGTGGCAGAGATTTGAGGTAAAACTGTGAGAACACCACCATGCTTCTTGGCTTTCATGAATTTTGTCAAGTATTAACACTGCACTTGTATCCTTTTCTTGTCAGCTCTATCAGCACTATTTTTGGAAGCTAACTGCCTTTTTCTTACCTCTTTGCCAGAAACATGTGCTGTCAACAACGGGGGCTGTGATCGCACCTGTAAGGATACTTCCACAGGTGTTCATTGCAGTTGTCCAGTCGGATTCACTCTCCAACTGGATGGGAAGACCTGCAAAGGTAACCTGCACCCCTCCATGCTCCCTCCACATCTCCTGAGTGACTTTAGATTTGCTTATGATTCATATAGACAGCAGCTTTTCTTCCCTGGGCTAATAGAAGGTTATAATTGAGTAGGCCTAATTAGAACCAACTTAATTACACTAACTGTAGGTCAGCTGCTACAAGCATCAAATAATCCATTTTAGGCAGTGGCCTTATTAGAAAAAAGCAGAAGTTCAAGGAAACATTAATTTGCAGGAGATACTATCACCATATCATAAATAATAGCCTAGAGATTATTATATAAATAACAGCCAAGATTGTTATCCAGAGAACTTAATGAATAACTGTACCATTAACTTTTACTGATGAATAGAGATCCCAATGGCCTGCTAGTATTTCATGGGCAAGAGTACAAAGGTTCAGTTCTTTAACATGATAAAAAGTAGATAACCAGTTACCAGATGAAGCTGAGAAAAGGTAAGATTAACTTGAGTATCAGCAATCTTTTAAAAGCATTGAGGCTATTTGATCATTGTGTAGTTTGCCAAAACAAATATTTTAGTTTCTTGTAATTTTAATCACTTACCCTGGAGTGAAACGTATACCAAAGGAGCCATCTTATCTTGGGAGAACAGTGCAAGCATGAGAATGTAACAGGACATCACCATTCTTCCTAAAAGTTTTCCCCTTAATGATAGAGTTCAAAAGAAGATGAGGCACTCACTGGTTGTTCAAAATTGGTTGAGCAAGACAAGAAAACATGTGTTAGATCAAGAACATCAATAAGCATTCTTAAATGCTTTTGTGGGTCTGTTTTTGTTTCAGAGAATAATGAAGCACACACAATAACACAGGGATTTGTGGAAAACGAGGCAAGTATCGTGTCTGATTTGCCGATGCTTGCCTGTTACAGATATTGATGAGTGCCAGACCCGAAATGGAGGTTGTGATCATTTCTGCAAAAACACCGTGGGCAGTTTTGACTGCAGCTGCAAAAAGGGATTTAAATTATTAACAGATGAGAAGTCTTGCCAAGGTATGTGCTGAAATGTAGTTGTGCTGAGCCATGCCCGCTGGTTGGAGCAGAGAAGATGAAATCCCCGCCCTGGCAGAGACTAGCTTGCCAGACTTCTTGACGGAGTCTTTAATCCAACCTTCAACCTGTGCTTCACTTATTTCTTCTGTTAAGTTGACTAAAAACACTGATGTAGCTTACAGGTAAATTTTGGAAATTAAGCTGTTAGTGATTAAAGAACACCTCAAAGAAACCCATCTGGTGTGATCACAGTAAACCTTGTTGCTAGAAGTGGGATGGATCACAGAATGCAAACAGTTACATTAGTGTGTTGAGATTATGAATAATTTTCCTTTTCTGAAGTTTCTCTTGATGGCTTAGATTTTAAAACAAAATTTAGTAGTGGAAATATGTAGATTTAGTTAACACACCTTTTCCTAGCAATCATTAGGGTTACCCTGTGATCAGGATTACCCATTAGCTAGTTGGTCTCTTCCTTAAAGTCCTTCATGGAATGACCAGCCTTTGGCACCCAAGGGTGATGGGGGGAGGTGGAGGGGCTGAGTAGAGGAGAGGCTGATCAGTGTGTGGTCAGCATCACAGACCCTCTCCAATGTGTCTCTCTCACAGAAGGGCTACACCAAGGGATCTTCTCTGGGTAGCAGTTATTGTTGATACAAGCATGTATTTTGGGTGGTGGAGGCTTCTTTTGGAATGGAGGGCATTCCCTGTGTTTTCAAATGAGTGCCTTTTGTGCTCTCTGGTAAGACATGCTGTTGTTTATTCCTGTTCCATTTCTGGAATCATCACATCCTATTTTATTTTGTTAGAAATCCCAGAAGTAAATCAAAGTCAGAAAATAATATCTGAATTTCACTTCAGATACTAACAGATGTAACATTACTTAACAAAAAACCCTTCAGTTATGAATTAGGTTTCTCTTCTGTATTTGGGGCCTTAACATATAACTTGTTGGGCAGTACAGAAATACTCCCCTTTAAATTCACTGATTATGGTGTGGTTTTTCTTCCATTTGACTTGGAAAGCAATTTTTCTGTTCCACATAATGTTTCATAATGTATAGAGCGTAGATACTGTTTAAGCTGTGTAAACACATTAAAAAGGAATTAGAAAAATGATCTCATTATTTTTGGCAAAGCAAAAGCCTATCACGAGCAGCCAAAGTCAGCTACTGAAAGTTCATGTTCTCAACAACTGGCTGATATTCATAACAGAATTCATAGAGTGACATCAATTACTGTGGTAGAAGCAGACTTTTTCTCATCTTCTCACTGATTAGTTTTGGTAGAACAAATATTTGCACAGAACAAATTTACTGAAGAAGTTGTCAGGATTTCTGGGAAAAGCTAAAGATGAAGAAGTTTTGTTAAAATTTGTCCTTTATTTTATTTTTTCATTCCTTTAATTTCTCCCAAATGTTTGTTTTTTATTAATGCGATTTCTCATGAAACATATGGTCTGGGAAAAGATCTAGCCATGGTCTGGTTGGCTTCCACTCAGTTCTGCACTGGTCTGGCTTATCCATTTGGACACACAAGTCATAACTCTGTCAAAACCGACTGCAGAAACTCCAGTCTTCAGGAAAGATGTGACCAAGTCTTTTTCTCCAGACGAGGAAAGAAAATATCATTAGATAGACAAATTCAACTTCCTCCCATGACCTCAGCTAAAGACAAGGACGTGGGGCCCTCCCAGGTGGTGCAGTGGGCTAAAGCGCAGCACGGAAAGCTAGCCGCAGTGCTTCAGTGCCAGTCTGACCCCCGCCCTGGAGGTGTCCACATGGCACAGCAGGCCTCCTGCCTCGTCCGCTGCTCTGCTCAGCAGTGTACTTCGGTGTTCTGCTCTCTGCTGTGTCTCTGGTGAATCCTCTCTCCCCCTGCACCTCTGGCCTATACCCCAGTTCTGTATGTATAAATAAATAAATCTTTAAAAAAAATAAAGACAAGGTTGCCTTCACATTGAATCAGGAAGGGAAGAGCTGAATTATGGGAGCGGAATAAAGCCAAGGGATTGGCCAAGAGGCTTATTTAGAGCTTAAGCACTGTATTTCAGTGTCTACAATAAAAAATTAATGAGGTTGTTAGCATTAATGCATTCTTTTAGTGCAGAAGGCATTAAAACTCAGGATCAACTGACCACGTGGGGCCAGAATACTAATTCCAGAAAGATCAGAAAGAGATAGAAACCAGATTTGTCTTTAACCCAAGTATTTTCTCCTTTTAATTTGCTATGGTTTATAAAATTACTAGTTCAGTTTTACCGATAGCAAAATAATAATAATGCTTACATGGCCTCTTATGGTTCACAAACTTTTTAAAATTAGTTTATCTCTTTTGGCTTCATTTAAAAATTTTAAATTACTCACCCTATAAATATGCATAAGTGAGCGATACCCACCAAGCTCTTAGGTAAGTGCAATTTGCTACAGGTTTTGGAAATAAGGGTTCTGGCAGTGCATATATACTTATTGGAGGCTGTTCAACACTTTCTTTAACACAAGAGACTGGGGAGAACGGATAGGTAATATTTGACTCTGTGGTTTTTATTAGAGGTATTATAAACTTACTCTCTCTACTTATCGCTCACAGCTGGTTACAACTCCCTTCTCCCTTTGACCATTACAGATGTGGATGAATGCTCTTTGGATAGGACCTGTGACCATAGCTGCATCAACTACCCTGGCACATTTGCATGTGCTTGCAGCAAAGGCTACACCCTCTATGGCTTTACCCACTGTGGAGGTGAGCATATTGCCTTTCTAGACTTGGATGTGATTGGTCTTGCAGAGCCTACCCCTGAAGTTTTTCACCAAGGCCAATTTCTATGCACTGGGCTACAAGAGGGACATTCTATTCCCTGCACAGTGGTAGTGAGTCTATCAACTCAAGAGAAATATCTGCTGAGAGAAATCTCCTCAAATTTATCCCTTTAATACATCAAAGGTGAAACTAAGCAGAGAGAAGAGCTCACTTCAACTGTGAATTCTCTATCAACTTCATTGATCAGAGGCTTTCCCAGGAGTTGGTTCTATACCTGTTGGAACTTCCCAGCAGATAATAAAGTCACAGTTGTCAGAGAGGCTTGGAGAGTAACAACCAACTCCTCAGTTCTGTTGGGTGTGGGCACTGGTTTAAGCTCTTTGAGCTGGTCTCTGAGTTTGTCACTAAGCTCTCTGCTTTGTACCCATGTGGCCACATGTGCTCATGGCACATAAACTTGTGGTCAAGTAGGTTATTGCAGGCCTCAGATTTGGCACCAATTGACTAGTGCACTGCTCCCTCTGATCATCATATTCACTTGATGATCTCTGAGAATACAGATTTAGAATGTCTAGGGCTTCCAAGGTGATTCTGAGGATCTCAGGATGTCAGAACCACCGGCCTAAATACTTGCTGCCTTTGTGTCTGTGCTTAAGCGTGGATGATAGTCATCTTCCATATACAGTGTTTTCAACACACCCTTGGCATGGCTAAGGTCCATCAAGAAATTCCAAAGAAATGTTCCCTGAACATTTTGGTTTTAGTTGGCATCCCCTTCCAACCTGGTGTTACTCTCAGGTAGATGTGAATTAGTTCAAGTCATTTTTCTTCTTTAAAGCTCAATTACATGAATAGTCAAGTGGGGATATCCTAATTCTGTCTGTTTCTCCCTTGGTATGTTGCCCTGAAGGATGGTGGGGTTTTAAATTGGAAGCCTGTGAAGTATGAGTTTGATCATTTGAAAGTAGAGTGACCCTTACTGAGTGTCCCTGGTGGGGGAATGGTTTGGTAAAGAATGGAATTTGCGACCACCCTGGTGAGGCTTACCCCAGGAAATCCACTCAGTGAGTGTGTGTGACCAGCTGGTGCCAAGCGCATTACCTGAGGGCAGTCAGCACTGTTCCTTTGTTTTGTGAGTTTCAACCTTGTGCCACCCTTCCTGCTTCTTCCTCAAGGAAGGGATGGTGTCAGGCAGGTTGGGATGGGCTGTAGTGACAGGAGACTATCTCGCTTCACAGACACCAACGAGTGCAGTGTCAACAATGGAGGCTGTGAGCAGCTCTGTGTGAACACAGTGGGCAGCTATGAATGCCAGTGCCACTCTGCATACAAGCTCCACTGGAACCAAAAAGACTGTGTGGGTAAGGGGCTCAAGGCACAGTCAGTGGGCTGGCCACTGGCCCAGCACCACTCTGTCACACCCTTTCCCAGCCTGACCGGAGAGCAGCTGACCACCCCTCCACCGAGCTCTCTTCCCCTTAGCTGCAGCAGCCTTCTTGAAATAGTTCAAAACAGGAGATACTTTGCAGGCTCTTTGGCATTTCCTTCTGTGCTTCTGTGTAGAAATTCACTTCTGTTTTCCTGGTTGCTTTTCTGCATGAAAGAATAACCTATGAGGAGCTCCTATGCCTTGAGTAAAATCATGCCTGGTGTCCGTGTTCTGTGCTGGGTGATAGACAGCTCTAATTCTTTTCTTGGGGCCTTGGATGCATGGGTCTCAGTTGTCCTTGTCACATCTGGGAGTGTCCTTCTTTCTCTGTAAGTGTTTGTATTTTGTCCTGTCTAGAAGTGAAGGGGCTCCTGCCCACTAGTGTATCACCCCACGTGTCCCTGCATTGCAGTAAGAGTGGTGGAAGAGACAGGTGCTTCCTCAGATGTCATTCTGGCATTCACCTCTCTTCAGGTGAGTGGGGCCCAGTCCCTTGGGCGGGTCCCCCTGCCAGGGCCAGGTCTGCCTGGCCTTTAGGTGTTAGATGTCCTCAATAAGTTTCCAGGTCTTTAACTAGCTGCCCAAGAGGTTTATACTGTGAGACCCCATATACTGGGCATTTTTCTAGTGATCATATAAGGTAGGGGTGGGGGTGACTTTAGCTGCTACCAGGAGATTCTGTGATCTTGTCTACATGTTGATGATCCACATTCTGTCTGTCAGGACTGCAAGAAGCCTACTCTGTCACCTGCGGCTCTTCTTCTCTTCTCAGGAGCAAACAGCAAAAGTCAAATGACTCTGCTTTTGGGGGTAATTACCAAATCTGTGTTCTCTCTGGGGCTTACTATATTGAATCGACACCACTCACAGGGTGCTGTCTTGGGTGTTGGCTTTGTATTTTTTTTCTTAACCTCTTCAGTGCCACAAGCACAGTATAGGAGGTTCTTGCCTGCAGCCATGGCACTTGGAATCTGACTCACCATAAAACAGCTATTTACTGAGTGTCCACTCTGCTGGGAGACCCTGTTCAGCCTTGGTGGCTTATTATATTAGGCAGAAGCCCACAGAGCTCTGGGGTTGGGGAGACACAGGTGTCCAAACTCCTAGTCCTCAGGCACCCCAAAGAGCTGGGGGGAATGTGTGACTGGGGCACAGGACATGAGTACAGACAGACATGGCCTGACACCAAGATCGAGGATCTGTCCAGAGAAAGGGCTTCAAATTCTCAGGCTGTTGAAAGACAGAGAATGAAATCTATAGCTTTCAGGAGCCTTCATCCTCTGAGTCAGATAGCTCTGTGATTCTGATGTAAGAACATCTGAAGAAAGAAATGGCTCTTGATGTCCATATTACATATATAAACAAAGCCAGAGATACAAATCTTGGTAATAACATCTCCTACATATGAATTGAGCAGCTAAAATATGCCAGTCACGGTATTACATGGTTTAGGTGATTTAGGCCACACCATAGGTCTCTGGGGCAACTTTATCATCGCCCTCATTGACTGGTGAAGAAACTGCGGCTTAGAGAGGTGAAATAATGTACCCAAAGAGACACAGGTAGGAAATAGGGATCTAGGACTCTAACCAGATCATCTGGATTCAGAGTCTCAAGCAGTGTCCTTCACCATCTTTTTGCTTTACATTTGCATTCAGTCAGAGCAGACATCATTGTCTGTGTCACCAAACCCCTCAGTGATGGTCACTTGGAGAGTTAGGTCACCCTGAGGTGAGCAAGGAAATAGTTAACTGCATTTTGGTTCTTATTATATTGCCAACAGTAGGATAAATGTTTCCTTTTTGCCCCATTATCTCATTTAATCTTCACAGTGACCTCATGTAATGCAGGTACTATAATTATGTCTATTTTGCAAATAAGGAAACTTAGGCTTAGGGTGATCAAGTAACTTGCGGAAGTTCTCATCACAAGTCAACGAGCTGGAATTTTTTTTTTAGTGCAGATTTATTTTTACATCATTTTGTGCATTTTTTCCATCTCATTTGCAATCCCCTTGGGCTTCCCATCACCAAATCACCCTGTGCCATCACCATAGTCCAGTGCATTTCGTTCCCACCACTGTTTTTGATCCCATTCCCCACTCCACCCCCATAAAATGTCTCTGGCATATAGCTATTTATTATTGTTATTATTTTCTCGACTGGTCCATTATATTCCTGCTATGACAGAAACCATCCGGTATTTTTCTTTTTCTTTCTGGCTTATTTCACTAAGCGTGATCTTTTCCACAAAGAGCTGGAATTTTAATCTAGTCACTGGCTCCGGAGCCTCACGTGTGGTTAAGATCGACTGTGGGAAGAGAGCAGAGTTTTGTGCATGTGGTCCTCAGAGTGGGACACTTCCCAGACCCTGAAAATCCTAGCCACACTCAATGAATGCCGCTCTTGTCAGGAGTGGTGGCTCCCTCAGCCCTGTCCTCTCAGGACAGGCTCGTGTAGGAGAATATGTCTTTCACCATTTCCCTCAATAGTCTTGTCCAAATTTGGACCAGAAGATTCCAAGCTTCTTTCTTTGGAAGGCATGAAAAGACCTCGTATTTCACCTTTCTGGTCTCAGGGTAGGAGAGGGCTCAGGCTGTGCTCCGCGTGGCGGGACCGCCAGCTGGTGGACAGCTTGCCATTACCCGCCTGGTGTTTCCATTCCCCTGCCTCTGAAGGTAACATCTCTTACTTGTTTCTTTCTGAAGATGTCGCCACCGTCAAGACAAGTATAACCTTTAAGCTAAATGAAGGCAAGTGTAGTTTGAAAAAGGCTGAGCTGTTTCCCGAGAGTCTACGACCAGCACTACCAGGTATGGAACCAGATGGCTGGTATAGGGAGCTTGCCTGCATGTTGGGAAAGGGTCTGTAACAAGCCAGATGGGCTCAAACAGTTGAGTATCTCCAAGAGTAGAGTCTAGTAAACATGCTCAGTTCAGGGGTTATATTTCAGGGCTTCCTTTGCAAGTTCAGAGAGTGAAGCTTCAGGGAAAACTGTGAGTTCATAGGAATTAATAAGCATCAATTTGTGATCACATTGGGTTAAATTTTCTAGATCATAGCGTCTGCATGAAATATAGGGCAAAAAAAAAATGAAGGAAAAAAAAATGATCTGGCTCAGAAAGGACAGGCTTTGATGAGCAAAGATGCAATATACAGCTTCCTGTTGGTTCTCCTTTTCTCCTTTTTGGAGGCTGTGGCTCCATTGGCTTCAGCAGAATAAAGGCCATCTCAGGAGACCTGGCCCTTACTGGAAAGAGCAGAATCCAACACTCTTCTCCTCAGCTCACTTTCCAGTATTAGTTCATAGGGTAATTTTGAAGAGTAAAAAAAAAAAAGATTCATATATTAGGAAGGCTTCTTTTTTCCCAATCTACCCTCAAATAAATAACATAAGCAAATAAATTTGAAGTCCACTTTAGTAATTTTTGACTGCCTATTTTAAGTAACTAACCAAAATTAGTTTTGTTGTCTCTATTTGATGGAATATTATGTGGCCATTAACAGTATGTTTTCTAAGACTGTTTAACGACAGGAAAAGTTCTTGTTATAATGCTAAGATTGGGACAGGGAGAGCAACAACTTGTATACCTAAGGCAATCCAAATTGTATAAGAGGAAGTATAGAAACAAGAAGTAAAAAAAAAAAAGCTATCATTCAAAGTAGTTATATCTTGTTGGGAGGATGATAGGTGAGCTTAGTTCTTTTTCTTGCATTTTCCAAATTGTCCATAGTGAGCATTTATACTTTTAAATCAGTGGAATCTATGGGAACTCAGTACTACCTTAGCAACTTTTTTATAAATCTAGACTTATACTTCTAAAAAAGTTTAAAAAATAGACACATAAAGTTGAAAAGGAGAAAAGTTCAAAGTGAGTATCCATTTAGTTTGAGATTTGAAGTTAACCTTTTGAGAAGGCGAGATAACATCTTCAGGGGCAAATTAATTTGCATCCGCTTTCCTTTGATCCCTATGACTGGTTGTTCTGAACATCCCTATAATGTTGAAGAAGAACATGGCACAGGTTATATAGTTCAATAAAGTAAGATTTCAAGCTAAAGGCTACTTAACTGTATGGATGGTATGTGGGCCTGCTCTTCAGTTGGGGTCAACAGTCATTTGCTAAAAGATGCACTATATGCCATGGGGATATATTGGGGCACTATATGCCCCAGTTCGGGATGGCCCTGCTTCCTGTGACACTTTCACCTCCAGCCTATGTGCCTTCAGGAAATTGTTTGCTTCTGTTGGTGTTGTTCCATTTATTGCTCCTAGTTATTTCAAAATGGGACATTACTGTTGATGTGATTTCCAGCCTCCCCTTTGGGTTGAAATTACTCCAAGATCAGTTTGCCTGTTTCCTTTCTACCCGATGTTCATTCCTTATTGGAAGCCTCAGCCCCTTAGTACATCACGGTCCAGCCTTAAGGAAACTAACTGTGAGAATATGAGTGTTACCAGTAAGGAATGCAAGGGGACCCTGGTTCCTGTCTTCCACATAGAAGGCCAGTCAGTTGGAAACATCCAGCATTTATCCAGGAAAATAATTTTTAAGATCTAAATTTTAAGTTATATAGTTTTACTAGCTCTTCAAAATTAAAATGTCATCGTGCTCCAAGCTGAGGGCTTGCAACATCTTGGCATCTGGAGTTGATCATTTAGTCCCTTGAGAGTTGTTTTAATGAAATGTTTACTGAGCTCTAGCAAATGTTCAACGGAGTGCTTTGCCAGGATTTGGCTTCCGATAATTTTGTTTCTTCATACAGAGAAGCACAGTTCAGTAAAAGAGAGCTTCCGCTACGCAAACCTTACATGCAGCTCCGGCAAGCAAGTCCTGGGAGCCCCTGGCCGCCCAAGTGCCACTAAGGAAATGTTTATCACTGTTGAGTTTGAGCTTGAAACTAACCAAAAGGAGGTGACAGGTTGGTTTGAAAACAGCATACGGTGCCAGGCTTCTCACAGCTTGCTCCTTATTTCTTTGCCTTTCACTTTTCGTCATTCTTGGGGGAAAAAAAAATAGTGCAGCTACTGAAGTATCTCCTGTTTTGTTTTTCCCCCCTTCCTTTTTTAACCCCAAACTAAACTAAATTGGTTTGGAATGTGATGATTGTATCTGCTTTATAAAAACCCAAAGTTACTATTTGGTCAACAAATTTCTGTTTGAATCAATTGCTGCCCAGCTCGCTAGGTACCCTGTTCCAGGTCTCCTCCATTCTGTCCACAGGGAACTGTGGGTGTTGGTGGGTCCTGCAGTTGGCCTGGACGTCCTCACCACTGCAGCCTGACCTCCTCTCCTGCTGCTGGCCCTCTCGTTTCTGTAGCTTCTTGTGACCTGAGCTGCATCGTGAAGCGAACAGAGAAGCGGCTCCGGAAAGCCCTCCGCACACTCCGGAAGGCTGTCCACAGGGAGCAGTTCCACCTCCAGCTCTCAGGCATGGACCTTGAAGTGGCTAAAAAGTCTTCCAGAACATCTGAGCACCAGGCTGAATCCTGTGGAGTGGGCCAGGGTCACATAGAAAACCAATGTGGTGAGTGATCTGCTGACCAGGAAGTTCTTGCTAACAGCCCTGCCTCAAATTCATAAAAGCTAAGGATGACCAGAAGCCAGTTAGGCCCATCTTTCCCTCTCCAGCCTTATTCCAGAGAACATTGTGGACACGCACTCTCATTTGGGAACTACATGTCAGTGCCTGTCTTCCTACTGGACCAGGAGCTCCCCAGCACCTGGTATAGAGCCTGGTTTGTGGTGGGCACTTCATTAATGTTTGCTCAATTGTGGGATGAAAGGAAGCGTGAGAGTTTGAAAAGAGCAGTGTTACCCTGCAAGAGTCTCAGGGACGGTGGCTTTCCAGTCCGCAGGTGTAAAACAGTTCCGGTCATCTCCTGCTGACTTGAATGACTGTGGCAAGGAGCAAACTTCTGGCCCCAGTTTTGTGCAGAGGGGAGGGCGGGACCACTCAGCTGCCTTGTAAGACTCCTGAGCTTCAGCCCCAAGCTCCTGCTAATGTCTGTTCCTTGTGAATCATTTTGTGTTTGTGTTTTTAGAATTAAATTTGAGGCCCTGCACTTGAACACTTTTAATTCTATTCATCTGATGAATGGAGGAGGGGGTTCCATAGTCCTTGAGATATTTTTTGTGTGAGAGACCGGTTTGGGATATTCTACCTGGAAAGTCTTAGAGGGGGAAATTGGGGGTTCCACTTAAAAATAATGGTAATGACTTCTTGTCATGATGCTGAACACTGTAACTGCATTATTTAATTTAATCTTAACAGTAATCTTATCAGGTATATATTATCTTTTTAGCTGATGAACACACGGAAGCATAGGCTAAATTTTCTTGCTCAAGATCACATTGATGATCCAATTCCAAAGCCTGTGTTCTGTCCCAAGTAAGGTGAATTTCAGTAACCAGACCCCCACCAGAATAAATTGATGTGCTTTCTGAAATGTCATTAGACTCATGTCCAAAAAACGAAGCTCTAACTAGGGAGTATAAGTCACTGTTTCTGAACAAGCGAAACTGAGCCCAGGGCACTCGTACAGGAAAATCATCAGAAATAGCCACACAGCCCAAAACTGTCACTTTGCCAAAACAGTGAAAATCAAATATAAAGTCAAATATAACTGTGCACAAGGGACTGGTTCTTAAATAGTCTTGACTTTTATTCCAGCTGACTCTCTTTAAAAAAAAAATGAAAATAATAAAGTAAAAACAACCCAGCTGGTTGGCTTACTTTCAGTTCTAATTCTAAGGTTTCCAGTTTCTCAACCAAATGGTAATGAGAGTTGGCTGCTACAGCCCTACTTTCTGCAGTGAGTTGCAGAAACAGAACAGGTAAGCCAGTCAGCTCTTCTAGGTGCTAAGAACCCTGTCATTTACCAAAAAAGAAAACCAAAAAACAAAAAACAAAACCCCAAAAATCTTGGCTTGCAGAGAATTCACAATTATAGAAGAGGATGACACACCACAAGCCAATGAACAATAAAATGATCACTTGGGGCTGGTGGGAAGGAAATGAAGAACAAGCAAGCTGAGAAGCAGAATAGAGTGCCAGGGCAAGGGGAAGACAAGGAGGGGAATTCTCTCCCCCAAAGCAGACTATGCTCAGGGAGTGTGGTCATTGGCAAGTATTGTTTGGATGAAGATGTGAAGGATGGAGGAAGCAAGCTAAAGGGATATCTGAGAGAAGATCCCAGGTAAAGAAGACAGCAAGTACAAAACCCTGAGGCATTAGGAAAAAATGGCCAGGATGATGAAAGCCTGGGAGTGGGGAGGGAGAAGTCAAAGCTGCTTTAGAAGAGGCCCAGCTCTCATGGGGATGGAAGATGTAGAGAGGACGTTGAATCCCAGTGAGGGTTTTTAGCAGAGAAGTAACAAGATTCGGACTTAGATTATAAAGGAGTAATTTTGGCTGCTGTGTTGAAAATAAACTACAAGACTATGTTTAAGAATCATGCTTAAAAAAAAAAAAAAGAACCATGTCTTAAAAAACAATGCAGTTCACATTGGGCTATGTTCTTTTAACCTACTAGGGTATAGTGCTGCCATGAGTATTATTTTGTGGGCACATGGCTAATATAATATTTCTGAAAGGTAGACTTGTAGAAGTCCAAGTTCTAGGTCAAAGGACATGCACATTTAAAAGTTTATGGATACTGCCAAATCCGTCTCCAAAGAGACTCTACTAATATGTATTCCAAACTAATATATACTTCATGTGTTATTGACCATCACTGCTGACATGGGTTATGTATCATTGATCTTTTTAATTTTTGCAAAAATAATGAAGTCCTTTAGATTTGTTTCCTTTGAATATTAGTAAGAGAAAGTATGCTGTCCTATGTCTGTGACCATTTGGTGTCCTTCTAAAATACTCATCTTTGCCCACTTTTCCATTGGATTACTTTTCAACATCATTAATAAACTTTAAAGTCAGAAGTTCAGCAGAGATCATAATCACTTCTGAGCAGTTAAACACTTTCTTATAGTCATTTTTGCGTAGTAGAGTCTCATTAATCTGGCATTTGAGGAATTTGGGGACAGCCTGCTCTACCAGTAACCTTTGTACCATCTGTTGTCTATTTTAGCAAGATGGGAAAAAGTGGTGATTATATCGGCTAAGAAAATTTCTTTTTTTTTTCTTTAAGATTTATTTACTTATGCATACAGACCTAGGGTATAGGCTAGAGGTGCAGAGGCAGTGAGAAGACTCACAGAGACAGAGTGGGGAGCAGAACAGGAGAATTGACGTAGTACACTGCTGAGGGGAGCAGCGGGCAGGTCAGGAGAGGTCTGCTGCACCGTGTAGAACACCTCCGGGCCCTGGGATCGAACTGGCACTGAAGTGACTGTAGCCAGCTTTTGCAGTGCTGCAGCCCAACCCGTTGTGCCACCAGGGAGGGCCCGAAAAAATTCTTAAACTCCATAGTAATCCATATAGTTCTTCATATCTAAAGAAAAATTAATGATAATATAGATTTCTGGCTATTTTCTCATAGATACTTACTCTCTCATAGATGTTTATTTTTTCATAAAAAGTTATTTAGGAAATATAATTGCTAATATATGTATTTTTATACTTGATTATTTTTAAACTTACTGAGGTTTTTAAAAGAAAACCTAGCAAACTGAGTAGTGTTTTAGTGCCTATGTTCTTGAAAGACTAGGAAAGTTTAATTCAAAATTATATAGCAGTAGCTTTCCCCTGAAGCTGTTGAGAAAAGTTAATTCAAACAGTATTTATTGAGGTTCAACTTTGAGCCATTCTGTGCTTGGGATGAAATAGTGAGCAAAGTTTCTATTCTCATAAAGTTCACATTCTAACAAAGGGAGATGAGCAATAAAAAGATAAAGAACAAAAATAATTCCAGTAGTTACAAGTGCTGAAGATAAAACAGAGAAGGTTAGAGGAGAGCAGGTGACTTTCTAGCTGAACCCTAAGTGAGGAAGGCTGAGTTTACACTGCCCCAGAGCCGAGTGGATCTGCAATTACAAAGCACTTCATACTTCTTCTCGGATTTTATCTTAATTCTTTCAAAACTGAGATTGCTTGGAATGGAACAGGCAGAAGTGTTCTTTTCTACTTCAATCAAGGAAAAAGTCTTTATTAGTAACATAGGCCACTATGAAACCAGTATTTATGACAGAACTAGGTAGGAAATTCCGCTAATTAAAAAATTTTTAAAACATCATTTAATAAAATGGTGACATTTGTTGAGCACTGCCAATGAGTTCAGTGCTGTGCTCAACACTTTACAGTCAGGTATCACTTAGCAACATTTTGGTTAATGACAGCCCACTGTACAAGTGGTCCAAATAGGTTATACCATAGACCCTTGGTTTATGTAATTACCCTCTACCAGGTATGTACAACATAATTATCTGACAACACGTTTCTCAGATCATATCCTGGCCACTAAGTGATACTTGACTGTACCCATATATTATCATTTGTCCTCACCACATATCTGTTTTTACAGATAAAGAAGCAAAAGCATAGGGAGGTAAGCAGCTTCCCCATGTCAGCAAGTTAAGTGGCAGAGCCAGGATTCAAATCCAGGTCTGACTGAAGAGTCTATGTTCTTTTTTCTTTTTAATTTTTTATTTTTTTATATCATTCTTTATGCTTCTCTTCAGATAAACTACCCCACTTCTTTGGCCTCCTATAGAAAGAACTCCCCTAAAGAATTACTAAATTCACTTTGCTTCTACATCTTCCATTTTCTCAATTCTGGTTTTCATTCCCAACCTTTCCACCAAAACTGCTTTTACCAAGGTTTCTGATCATCTTCATATTACCAAATCCAGTTGCTGGCTCTCACTAAGACACTGTTCACCCCTCTCTTCTGGAAAAGCTTTTGTCTCAAGGGTTTCAGATACCACACACATCTGGTTCTCCTACCTCAGTGGGTGATACTTTTTCATTTCCCATGCAGACTCTTCCTTAATTTATGATCTCTTAAATATCAAGTATCTAAGGGCTCAATCTTCTCCTCTGTCTTCATACTCTTAGCTTCATGGCTTTAAATACCAATATATGCTGGTGATGCCCAAACCACCCTCTCCAACTCTGACCTCCATCTATTTTGCACAATGAACTTCTCTACCCTAGATGTATTGAGTGTTTTTGATCACACACACACTTACAGTAAAATATTTTTGAATTTGTGAATGTTTTAAAATGTTATATTATTGACTAATATATACATCACAAAATGTAGAAGAATGGATACAGATTAATATACAATATTTTGAAATAACTGGCTAGTACCTGAGGGTAACTTGCCCACAATTTGGCATTGTTCATTGTTACCAGTGGTAGTTATATCTCCATGTTTTCAAATAGTCTTGCTCATTGCCTGTGATTTGGCTCAATGCGTGACAGATCTGATGATCTCATTACTACTTTTCATGGTGTGGTTTGACCATTGCTAGTGAGTGCTGCGAGTAAAAGCTGTGTCAGCTCTGACACTTCCTTTTGTTCGCCTTTGCTTTGCTTGTGGGTGCTGCCTTCAGTCTCTACAAGAATCATTTGAAGCTGCTTCTGTTTTGTGATAGTTTGGTTCAAACTAGATAATGCAATGAGGACTTCGATTCCTCAAGCACAGTTAAACTGTAATTCTTCCCACTACGTTGAAAATAAGCAAACAGTCAGTACCTCCTACCCTCAAGTTGTGGATTGTCTGTTCTTGGAGACCTTGTGTCTCCATACCTCATGTAGAGGTGGAATGACTGAGGGGCTAGGCTTATCCATACACTACACCAGTGAGTCGTTATTTCCTATTTTTAGGTAAGCCTTTATGTATGGAGACCTGAAAATGCTTTGCAGACACTCAGAGGATCATTTTGTAAATCTCTGAGGTATAATATCCTGCCTTGGAGATAACCCATGTTACCAATGCCTTTTCACTATCAATACTTCCATGATCAATCTACAAGCCAGAACCATAGGTTTTATCCTCCCTCCTCACAAATAAAACCTGCTTCTCCTTCATCTCAGGAAACAGCACATCTTTCTACCCAATTGCTCAAGTTGAAAATCTCAGAGTCATCTTCACCTTTCTCTTTCTGTCATGCTCCTCATTTAAGCCATTAGCAAGTGCTGCCATCTCTGCTTTCAAAAAATGTTCTGAATCCAGCTAGCTAGTGTTCTCCTCCTCCATCATTACCACTCTGTTCTAAACCCTACTATCTCCAGCCCCATCTATTTTGCTAACAGTTGCTCTCCTTACTCTGGCCTTTCCTCAGTCTGATCTCCATGCCAGAAAATCTTTTAAAATCCTGTCATATCATGTCTCTGCAATTCCAAATCTCCAATCTACTTTGAGGCCTAATTTCCTTACATGGCCTTCTGGAACTTATGTGGTTTGGCGCTTGTTTGCATTTCAAAATTCATCTCCTGTCATCCTGCCCTTTTCACTAATGGTCCCCTACACTGGCTTTTTGCTGTTAGGCAATTCCATTGTGGGGTTATTTCCCTCATTTCACCCTGGTCTCTACTCTGAGAGGCCTTCCCTGGCTTCCCTCTCAAAATAACATGCACAACAACTCCAAGGCCTCCATTTTGTCTTTCCCTCTTCCCCTGTCCTACTTTTCTTCATCACATTGCAAGCTAACATTTCACTGTATAATGCTCATTTATTGTACATATTCTCCACTAGATTGAGAGCCCCTCCTGGGCAGGGTCATGCCTGTCTTCTCTGCTCTACTGCCATATCCTAAAACAGTACTTACTCCGTGCTTAATCAGTGCCTAATAAATATTTAATTGAATGAACGAGTAAATAAATCTTCACACCAGTTGAAGTTCCAAGGATAGCCACCAACCTTAAAAGAGTGCCAAGGAAAAATTTTTGGAGACAAAATGATTTCACTCCTAAATCTCAGCTCCAGCAAACCAGATATGAAGAGAACATAGCATATCTTGGGCAAGGAAGGAGTCAAGCTGGGTTTATCTCTCTGAATCACCAAAAAGAATATTTTCAAATAGCAAATCTGAGCACATACCAAAAAACCTGAACAGATGTAGGAGTCAACCCCTCAGCCCACGGGGATGCTATCTCCTGTTACTCTGTACCATTCATTTAAAAGGGCTTCAAGCCAGGATCTCCAGGCTAGGGCACTGCCTAGAGAGCCAGCGCTTCTGAGCTGTGACAAAGCCCAGCTCCATGAACCCTGGGAATCCACGTGGGCTGCTGTGGCTCCCCTCAGAAGCCCAGGCGTGATTCTTAAGAAAACAGTCAGATGCTAGAGAGTGACCTTTTTTATTAGTTTCACCATCTTAGCCACAGAGAGACCATAGTGTTTGTCCCCAGTCTGAAACACTCAAAGGCGGTGGTGTTGAAAAGAGGGTGAGCTTTTAGGTCTCTTTGTGGCTTGCCATTGATCCTGGTGCCTCTGCTCTCTCCCTTTTGCATCAGAAAAGGTTTCTTGTATTTTTCTTTTAAAGATGGGGAGAAAACAGCTGTGTGGGATTTGAGAATGGGATTTTAATGGTCACTGAAGATGCACAAAAGCTTTGCTGTGATAGTGAAGTGTTCTGGGGGCAATTGACTCCTTTGTCTGGGGCAGCAAAACAAGCTGGCTGGTCAGGGAGAAAGGGAACCGACTGGAACGTGTGATTTGAGGTCTCTTGAGGCCACATCTCCAGCACATTGCAAATAGCTGTTTTCAGGCGCTTCATGACATTTCAGAATCGCTCTTAGGGTTTAGCTCATTTTTACCTTGTGAAAGAAACTAATTTGGAAGGTACTTGGCGTGAATTATTTCTGTAGGTCTTTTTTCTCTGGAAGGAAAATGGAAACCATGAGGGACATTCTGAGTTTGTTTATGTGAACAGGCCTTTCACTGTGAGAAAGAAGAGCTGGTACCCTCTTTTCCTGGGGGCGGCCCAAGGGGCATTTCACAGCCCTTTGTTCAGTTGAGAAATTGTAACAGATGTGGGATTTTGTCAGACTTCTTAAAATGTAAACTTGAAAGGCTTTGGAGGGCTAAAATGGAAGGAGTGGACAGCAGGGTAGCGGAGCCCAGCCGGCTACTCTTTTCAGTGAGATTTGGGTCCAGTCTTCCCCACTCACAGAGATCATTTTTCTGCCAGAGAAACTATGAAGGTTCAGACCCTGCTGTTTGGATGAGCAATGCTTGATGGGCATCATCCAGGCACCGCCCTCCCCTTGAAGGGAACGAGCATCTTGACAACAGCTGCTCCACAGATGGAAACAGTGTGGGATATTAGGGGCTGGGGACAGCTCTGGTTTTATTTACTTTCTGCCAGTCTTCATGGTAGGTTGGCTCAGTAGAGCCATGAAGAGATTATTCTCTCATTTACTGGCCTGACTCAGGGCCCAGGATAGTCAGGTGGGACACAGGATAAAAAGTCATGAATTCTACTTCATAATTCACCAGAGATGGGCCAAAACCAGAGTAATTTTGGAAACCATTATCTAGTAGGGCTTCATTTAGAGAGTAAGTGCAGACTCATAGGTTCTGTCGGCCATACAGCTATGCATCATACTCATTATAATGTTGTTTGCCAAGAAAGCAAGAGTTTGGTTCACTTTTAATTTTTTTTAAATACCATAACATTATATAAAATATACAATCAAAGAACATGTAAGTAATATGAAATTAATAAAGAAACTCCAAACAATATTAAAAAGCATTAAAATTTATAATTAGGGTAGATGTTATTGATTGTATTCACCTGTAGAATAATATTTGAAATAATGCCATCATTTGCCTACTCTGATTTTTTTAAAGTTTATTTTTTACTAAAGTCAGAATAATGTAATAGGGAACTTTGCCATCTTTACCCCTAGAAGTATTTATGCAGCCTGCATTTGTCAGATAGAATACAAACAAACATCAGCTAACTTGATTGTGTATTATTTTGTTTTCTGTTTCTTGGTAACTTAAGTATAAAAGAGGATGTGTTTATTCTAAGTAAATTTCCGTAGTATCCCATAGAGAATCCTTGGCAAAGTCTTGATTCAGTCTGAAATTTTGTTAAAGACTTTTTTGCCCTACTGGAGAGATCTTGATCTCACTGTAGGTGTATTTCATTTCATTTTACTAGCTGTGGTAACTTGGCCAAATTATTTCACATCTCTAAGTCTCTGTTTCTGAAAAATGGAGTTAACAATAGCACCTCATTCTTTAGGGATATGCTTAGGAATAAATGAGATAAAGTACATAAAACTTTGACACACTGTCTAGTGGATTGTAAGTACTCAACAAATGTTAACTATTAGAAAGGCTGTTTTGATGATTATGATGATAATATTTGAATTTTAATGTAGGGAGCCCAACACAATATATTTATTTCATATTCACACCTGAAAATAAGGTATAGATCCACACTAAACTAACAATACATTAATGAAACATAGCTATTAATTTCCTTATAGTTTATCTTTTTTTTTTAAGATTTATTTGTGCATACAGAACTGGGGTACAGGCCAGAGGCTCAGGGGCAGCGAGAGGCTTCACCAGAGACAGAGTGGGGAACAGAATAGTCAGATCCACGAAGTACACTGCTGAGAGGAGCAGCGGTCAGGAGAGGTCTGCCGCGCCATGTGGTCACCTCTGGGGCAGGTGGGGATCGAACTCATGCGGAAGTGGCTTTAGCTTTTTAGTGCTGTGCTTTAACCTGCTGTGCCACCAGGGAGGGCCTATAGTTTATCCTTTTAAGAGACATTTACCAGAGTTTACTCTTTTCCTATTACAAATAGGAAACATGCTATTTGGGGGAGCTTATCTATTAGATGTCTTCTCTATCTCCTCCCCTCAGTCACTAAAGACTGAAGTTTTCAAAACAGTCTCTGGTCCTATTTTCTCTCCTTTCAATGATTCTCTTACCTGTAGAATAAAATTCAAATGCCAGCTTTCAAGAACCTTGCCAATCTATTTTCAACTTGCTTTTCTTTTCTCTCCTCCCATGCACCCCATATGAGTCTTTATGACCTGCCTCCTTTCCTAACTGGGAAGACCTATTCATCTTTTAAGGCTCAATGTAAATGTGATCTCCTCTAGGAAGCCTTCTAGGATGTCACCCGTTAGAATTAATAACAATCAGCACCTTCTTCTCTGTTCCTTCAGCATTAGGCCTTTGTTCAATGAATGATTTTCACCTTTGTAATTCTTCTGACAAACCTGTGAAGTATGGAGAGTCAGCAATAACTTGTGCTACAAAAATAATTAGTACCACTGCTCACTGCTCCCAGGTACTTCATGGCACAGGGAGGAAGAAACTGTAAACACTTCCAACAGTGGGCAGCAGGGATCCTGGCAGAGGGCCTTGCTCAGGGGACCCAGAGTAGTGTGTGCTTTGTACCAGGAAGGTTTACATGGGGTGGGTGGGAAACGGGGTAGTGGAGCATGCTAACTTTCATTTCTAGCACTCACATTGTTCTTACTGGACCTCTGTCCCCAAATTGACCAAATGGTTTCCCCTTTGGCTAGTCAGTTGCAGGGCTGGGACATATTATGATGGTACACAAGAACGCTGCATTTTATGTCCAAATGGAACCTTCCAGAATGAGGAAGGACAAATCACTTGTGAACCATGCCCAAGACCAGAAAATCCTGGGGTTCCGAAGACTCCAGAAGCTTGGAATATGTCTGAATGTGGAGGTAAGGATGGCACCTGCCCCTTTTTACCCTTCCTTCCCAGTATCGTTGTCTGGATAGAAGGGATAGAAGGCCCAAGCGGAATTTCAGAGACTCCAAACAGAGTACCACGGCTGCCTATGAACAGGGACTATATGGGATTCATCATTGGCCTTGCAGTGCCTAGTTCTGTGCCTGAGACATGCTGCACTGATTCTCACTTGAGTAAATAAACAAAAATCTGATAAGATACATTGGCAGAAAAAAAGTATAAAAGTCACAATTACATGTTTTAGTCACTGTAAATAAATATTGTCTGAGATCCAGTGACCTCCTATTGACTAGGGACCATCTGCAAGTGTGAAAATGAAGAAAGAAGGTCTGATTATTTTTCCAGATTTGGTCTCATATTCATAGCTTATTGATTTTAAAAAGGGGATTATTTTATTAAAACTGGGACGGCCTCTGTGAAAAGTTTCTGATCATCTCATAACCTGGAGCCAAACTCACTTAGGTTCTGTGGGCTTTTTTTTTCCTATTTAATTTGTGAATGTATGTCTTCCCTTCTCTTTTATTAATGGAAGAAGGGCCACTTGACACTGGGTGGGCTCAAATGGAGACGTGATCGCCATGATCTCCAGTGTTGTGAGGCATTGTCTCCACAGAGTAAATACTGCAGTAGCCCTCAAGCCCCTTCTAGTAACTTGCAGGACAAGCTTTATTTCCCACCTAATGACTACCAGACTCATCTGCAGAATTTTATCTAGTTTAAAAGTCAGGTTTTCAAATGGACTGTGTGACTTCTAGCCTGTCTTTGACCTATTATGAAACCCTCGAATTAGTTGGAAGATTGAGAAAGGGGGGTTCTTTTGGGCATCTGTACACCTTTGTATGTGACCTTATCAAGATATATTTATGTTATTAAGTATATTGATAATATATCATAGCAATTGCTTACATTTAGAGAACACATACCTATTCCAGGCATCATGCTAAGTGTACTACATTAATTATTCACATGGTTATAGTTCTACAACAACTTTATGAGGTTCAAATGACTCATTTAAGGTTACACAGCCAACAAGTGGAGGTATTGAAGTCAGCTGAGGTTTGATAGACACCAGACTTCTTCCTGAGTGTGTTTTCATTCCTTGCCTTATATCTGTAAGGTAGGGATAGAAAGAAGACCAAGAAGATTAAGAGAAATAATTAGGAATACAGGCGATAATGAGATTTTTATAGCATTTTGGTATGGAACTGGTTCTTTTAGAAGTTTGTTTATGACTGTACTTCTTATCCTTAAGTTAAAATAATAATAATAATGAAGTAAGATATGAAAAGTAAATGCCCGTGGGTCCTGCTGTCAACATGGATTGGAGTGATTGGGTTTAGCAGACAAACTAAGGTATGATAGACATACCTCATTGCAAAGGGATGTGACTTAGTAATATAATTGGAAAAACCAGGAGATACTTTATATCCCTAGGATATAATCAGCAAGGTGAGCATGTACTTCTGGGTCGATTACCAGGTTGATTATAGAGCAGAGAGCCCTGACTCTGGGAGCTCCTGCATGCAGGGACTGTTGGGTAAGTGTTCTAGCCTGCATCATTCCCAGGCCTGCCCCATACTTTGGAACACTTACCCCCTGGTTTCCATTTTTGCACTGGGTTGTGTGACCCTGTGTGTAAACCTCAGGCATCAGACGCACCTCCTCAGGGTCAGTGGCAGAGTAGGACAGGGCTTCTGTGGAGCTGAGGTCTAGCAGAGGGTGACAGGCATGCCCAGTCTCATCTGCAGAGTGGTGGGGAGGGTCTGTCTGGGGGATCTCACTCACTTCAGTTCATTGGTGCCTGCAGGTCTGTGCCAGCCTGGGGAATATTCCACAGATGGCTTTGCACCCTGCCAGCTCTGTGCCCTGGGCACATTCCAGCCTGAGGCCGGCCGTACTTCCTGCTTCCCCTGTGGAGGAGGCCTCTCCACCAAACACCTGGGAGCTGCTTCCTTCCAAGACTGTGAAACCAGAGGTGAGGACTTGCCAGATTGCTTTTTCCAGAACTGAAATTCCCATCTAAGAATACTGGGAGCCTGGTAAAACTGTGATCAAGTCAAGGTGGCAGTGGCTGGTGTAGTGCCCCACTGGTAGGAAGAAGTCAGGTCCCAGCACTGCAGGCTAGGTTGGATGCACAGGGAGAAAAAGAACTCCCTAGAACTGGTCTCCCCTAGCCGCCTTGGCCCCTTCAGGCAGAGCTGGCTAGAGGAGTGCCAGGGCCATGTGAGCAGGCTTTATACACAGGCTCTGGCTGCTCTTTCCTTTCAGGCCTCCTCCTTCTCCGCTCCCTTACCTAGAGCTCCCCCTGCAGGACAGGCCCTACCCCTGCTCCAGAGCCCCACTCCTGTTGCCTTGCAGGAGCCCAGCTCTAAACCCAGTTTTATTGTCCTGCACCCCTCAATGCTCACCAGCTCCTGTGCATGAAGACTGGGGTTGGGGTCATTTATGCCTGACTCTGCATGGACAATCAGTTCCCTTTGTATTTTCCTGTGTCATGCGTCACAAGTCTGACTCCAGCTGGCTATTTAGGGAATTGAGTGTTGATTAGCCCCAGGAAAGCACTACTTCATTCGGACGTAAAGATTTAATTTCATGAAGTGTGAAAACTTTTATATTGTGGTAGATAGAAATACCGTTTTTTCTTTCATTTCTCTCCACTCACAGTTCAGTGTTCACCCGGACATTTCTACAACACTACCATTCACCGATGTATTCGTTGCCCAGCGGGAACATACCAGCCTGAATTTGGAAAAAATAACTGTGTTTCCTGCCCAGGAAATACTACGACCGACTTTGATGGTTCCACAAACATAACACAATGTAAAAGTAAGTCTTTCTTTAAGGCTCTTCAGAGTCTTGATTAAGAGGCAAAGTGTCAGGGTCCACCTGACCAGGAAGGGAGGTAAGTGGGTCCCAGGCATCCGGAACCATGCAGATATTGTTAGCCCAGCTCTGCAGATCAGTGCTGAAAGACAGTAGGGCTTGACGCCCTTCACTGACCCTGGCTACTCCACCAGGCTCATTCCCAGGTTTTGCTTGTTTTCATTTCTTCCTGGGGCAAAATTTTCGTTCGACCCTATTCAGCAAGCATTGCTTAAGGACTTGTTATATGCCAGGCTGCCAGGCACTCCAAGCAGAATAAGCCTCTGGTTCTGCAGGGAGCTTGGGCTGTAGCATCAGTGGAAGAAGTAGTTCACTCTGTTTGGAGTAGTTCACTCATGCTTCTGGAAGACATGAAAAGGTTTTGATGGGCTGGTGGTGGGAGAGGGTGCAGGAGGAAAGAGAAAGAGCTTTTATATTCTCCAGAATAGCTGGGGGGCTCAGGGGACCACAGAATGAGAAAAATGAAAGCCTTTTGGGGAAGAGATCTCTGAACCTGTAGGATTTGTGGATAGAATCTAAAACAGACCAGAAAGGGAAACCATGATGCTAAGCTAAGGAGTTTGATATGTCTTCCATAGAATGCGGAAGCGCGTCATTCAAGGACTTGCTTTGTATGTTTTTAAACCAGTATGTAGCATTTTCTGCTAAAGGCCACAAACAAATTTCAGCTAATTCTGTATGATTGAGATGGCAACCTAGGGGAGCATGGAGGCCTCCCCATGCTGCAGGAGTTAGGGATCAAAGAGGCAGTTAATCACTTACATTTTATCTTTAGAGTGTTGTCTAGTTTTCCTCTTTCCCAGTGAAGGATATTTAGCAACATCCTCACAAGTAAGCATCCCCTTTCTTCTTGAATACTTGCCATAATAAGACATTTAGTAACTTTTTCCATATTCTAGCCTGCTGGTAGATTAGTCTTGGGAAGTTCACAGTACTAGAAGATTCGATCTCCTTGTCCACCTTCACCCTGTGACATGGCAGCTCTTCGGAAGGCAGTTTTCTCAAGTCCCCTCTTTTCCAAGAATGAAAACTTTTCTTTTTTTCTTTTAAATCATGAATAATCTGTTACAATTAGAAAGGACAAAGGTAATCCCTTCAAAACCTACTCTTGAACAGGTTCACCTGTCAGTTTTTTTTTTTATTTATGTATTTATGCATACAGAACTGGGTACAGGTCAGAGGAGCAGGGGTGAGAAGATTCACCAGAGACAGAGTGGGGAGCAGAACAGGCAGATCGATGAAGTACACTGCTGAGGGGAGCAGCGGGCGGGTCAGGAGAGGTCTGCCACGCCATGTGGGTCACTTCCCTGGCCTGGAATCGAACTCATGCTTTCATTGGCTGCTATAGCTTCTTAGTGCTGTGCTTTTTAGCCTGTTGCACCACCAGGGAGGGCCCTCACCTGACAGTTTTAATAAGCTTGTTGAAAGCAAGCTTATTTCTGAGCTCCCAGAGCTTTTGAAATAAATTGTTGGATGAATGGAGATTCAGTGAATGAAGATATGACTGAGGTGCAAGGTGTGTGTGTGCATGCATGTGACACATTATCTATGCAAACCCCTTGCCTCCAGTGTCAGAGGTAATTATCCACTGTGCTCTGTACTGACTGATAAACTCACTGGAAATTCTCTTCCACACAAAATTAAAATATGATCTGAAGCAGAAAGAAATGTTAAAAATGATAACTGTTGTTATCTTCTTTAACATCTTCACTCATCTGTTAGCTGCTTTTTCTCCCTATTTTGACAGATCTAGAAGTTCTGTGTGAGGAGTTTCCTTGGTGCTTGGACTTTGTAAACAAGATGTTGAAAACTAAATTTGTCCTTTTGTTACATTGACAGCTGCCCTGATCTTGAATTCCTTTAAGTCAATGAGAAAATAGAGCCTGGGAACTGAGAGGAGGGGGCTCTGTGTGGGGAAGTAATGTAGTTTGGCCCAGGAGCCAGCTCTGGGCATTACAGGACAGACTCACCCCGCTGGTGGTGTCATTTCCAGGCCCCATTCCTTGATGGTGATGTGTCCTCCTCAGCCAGTGTAGAGGATAGAGGGACCATGGTTTGTATCTTCCTAACTTGTGGCATTCCTCTTGTAGACCGAAGATGTGGAGGGGAGCTTGGAGATTTCACAGGCTACATCGAATCCCCAAATTACCCAGGAAATTACCCGGCCAACACCGAGTGTACATGGACCATCAACCCACCTCCCAAGCGCCGCATCTTGATTGTGGTCCCTGAGATCTTCCTGCCGGTGGAGGATGACTGTGGGGACTACCTGGTGATGCGGAAAACCTGTGTGTGTCACCCTTTACCCCTCACCCTTCTAAGCCTGATGGCAAACTTGCTGTTAAATGTCAGAAGCAGGCCTATTTGTCACCTCTGTGTTAGAACAGAGTTAAACACGAGCTTACTGAGTTTTCAAAGAAACAAATTTAGACTAACACCACATTGAGGCTGTTGCTGAACCCTGGAAGTAGAGATCAGACTTCCCCTTGGTGCTCACTGGTGTTCCTTTTTCTACACAGGTACAGAAAGTTGTGACCCTCACACAGGGCTGGCCCCCTTGTCCAGGGAAACAACTCATGGTTTGGGGACTGACCAAGGCCACAGATAGTCCAGCCAGGAAGGACTCTTCCGTTCCTGACTCATGTCTCAGGGTCCATAAAAGCAAAAACACTTAGAGGCAGTGTAGTGAGTAGACTCTGCCACCAGCCTGGTGCATCTGAATCCCAGCTCATATTAGTTTTGTGGTCTTGGGCACACATTCTGGATTTTTCTGTGCCTCAGTGTCCTTGTCTTTAAATTAGGGATAATAATAGATGCTGCCTCATAGGGTTATAATGAGGAATAAATGAGCTCATACTTAGAATAATAATAACAACACATAAGTGTTTGCTATTCCTATTAGTGGGCATAGTGGTGTGGGTTTGAATCCTGACTTTTCCACATACTGGCTGTGACTCTGGGCAAGTGCTTCATCTATTAGTGAGGTAATAACTGGTCCAGATTCCTGTGGTTTTTGAAGAGTTAAATGAGATAAGGTCCACAAAGTGTTTGCCACCTGCCTGGTCTGAGGAAGCATGCAGTAAATGGTGGTTGATTATCATTAAATTATAGATTATAGTCAGCTCTGGAATCTGCGCACTCGTCCCTTGGTCCCTGCAGTGAGTGCTACAGGCTGGGCTGCAGCTGTTGGCTGAGCCATGGGCCTTTTCAGGCTTTGCCTTCCCTCTGGGGCCACAGTCACCAGCTGCATCTACTTGATTTCCAGGACATTTGGCTCAGTGAACCTGAAGAGCTATTGAACATAATTTGTTTCATGGTGTTTGAAAAGATGTGTGTTGTCTACCTGTTCAGTGATGAATCTTGAATCTTATCCCACCCCCAATTTCCCTTGGCAGCTTCATCCAATTCTGTGACAACATATGAAACCTGCCAGACCTATGAAAGACCCATTGCATTCACCTCCAGATCCAAGAAGCTGTGGATTCAGTTTAAGTCCAATGAAGGGAACAGTGCCCGAGGGTTCCAGGTCCCGTACGTGACGTACGACGGTAAGCTCTGTGACACTCTGGCTGGGCTTGTGGCAGCAGTGTCTCTACTTTGAACAGAACCAACTTCTGGGCCAGCTGGTGGATTGCTGGCAAGCCCACATGCTCAGAAAGGCAGCCAGGATAAGGAGAAAGGCCACTGCTGACTCACAAGTGCCAAGTTCTAAAGAGGCATTTGGGGATACTGACTATGTGGATGAAAAGATCTTTTAGAAAATAAAAGTGAGCATAGCTTGGTGGCAATAACAGAGGTATTGAAGTCAGCCAGCCTAGTATAATGTCTTTGGTGACTTTGTGCATGTTACTTACCTGAGCCTCATGTTATTCGTGTGTAGATGAGGATGCTCGTTAGACTTGATTTGAAAGTTCAATGGGATAATCCATAAAGGACCTGGTGCAGCTCTCACACCTAGTAGTTCTCAATAGATTTAACTTACTACTGTGCCTTCATTGTAAGGAATCATGAGGATGGGGAAAAAAGATCTGAGTTCTGATACTATCTCTGCCACTAACTTGCTGTGTGATTTTGGGCAAGATAGATGACTTCTCTGGTTTCTTTGATTATTATTACTAAATGAGGGAGTGGCCTGTCCGAGCCCTGTTCGTTATACAGCTCTGAGACTCAACATTTGCTAGGAATACGAAATGAACTGGACCTTGTTGACAACTAGAGGATTTCATAACTTAGTGGAAGAAGAGTCATCTGTTCGTTCATGAGGTTCTTCATTCACCCAGCCAGCCAACAAGTACTTAATAAGAATGTACTCTGCCAAGCATTGGGCGAGGTGCTAGAGACAATGTGGTTAGTGACAGAAACATGAGAGTACCAGTTGTCATGGATACTATAACAGGCCATGAACAAAGCACTATGTGAGCACAGAAAGGGCAGCAGTTACATCTTCAGGGATTTGGGGGAAGAATAAAGAAAAGTCTCAAGATATTTGGATCTTCAAAGAAGATAAAACTTTTCTTATAAGTGAGAGGAGGAGCTTTTAGAAAGATACAGGCCAAAGGATAGAGTACCAGGTTGTGTGGGGGCTGAAGACTAGCTTACTAGTAGGGTGCATGGGCTTGGAGTGAGAGATGAGCCTTCTGGTAGGGCTGGACTATGAAGAGCCTTGAGTGTTGAGCTCAGGAGGGTGGGGTGAGGCATTTTGGGTCACTGGCTACAGGGATGAAAAGGCCATTCAGACTTTCAAGGCTGCTAAGTGCCAAAAGTAGTTGTTCTGGGAAGATATTATTTTATGAATTTCCTAAATGTATTTAATATAATATGTATTTCTAGCGTGATAAATGTAAGGCTTATCATTATCAGACCAGGCTACTCAAGCTTAGTGATTTAAGTAACTGGCCCAAGGTCACAGCAGGACAAGATTGCAGGGCTGCAATTGGCGCGAGTCTTTGGGCCAGGTCTTACCTACAAACTTGACTGTTTTTCTCATGATGGAGCAAGTGAAGAGACACATTCATAAAGGCAGAGGAACTACCTTTTTTTTTTTTTTTTTTTTTTGAAAAGGCAGGGGTTTGGAAGCATTTGACAGAGTGGTAAATAGCTCTTCAGTTCTCTCTCACACCAGAGCACACGACACCAGTGTCCCTAATGGTAAACTGCCGTTATCAAAAAAAGGGAATTCTGTGAGGTAGAAACTCTGCAGTAGAGGAACCAAGATAAAATCTTATACCCTTATTCATATTTTATATTGACTAAGTTTAAAGAATAAGAAGCTACCACATAAGTATACTAGCAATATTGTACATGTATTAAATTAGTAATTATGAGGATTGTACTATTAGTTTCCATTTATCATCACATGACCAGGAGAAGCTTTTTAAGATCTCCTCTTAGGGCTCTCCCTGGCGGAGCAGCGGGTTAAAGCACCGCATTATGAAGCTCTCTGAAGCCACTGCAGCACAAGTTCCATCCCGGCCAGGGAGCTGACACACATGGCGTGGCAGACCTCTCCTGACCCACCCACTGCTCCCCTCAGCGTGTACTTTGTCAGTCTGCCTGTTCTGCTCCCCCACTCTGTCTCTGGTGAAGCCTCTCACCGCCTCTGCACCTCTGGCCTGTACCCCAGTTCTATAAGCATAAATAAAGAAATCTTTTTAAAAAAATGCTTTAAAAAATCTCCATTTCAGTGATGTTCTTCTGATTTGCTTGGTTTTGTTATACATGATTTGCATGCAAAGAGGCATTTTTTTCTGTCTGGAAGTTGGAAAAGGTTATGATTTGCATATGATTTGAATTATGATTATAGGAAATTCTGATTGCAGGAAATAGGATGGACTTTGAAGGGGGGGATTACATTTAGAGAGGGCTAACATTGTGTGTACTGCATTAAATATTAGGTCAGGACCAAAAATATTAATGAGAAAATGAACATAATTTCCTTCCCTCCACACTCTGCCAAATTCTACTACCCCTAGCCCCATTTAAAAAAGAGAGGGTGGGTAAGACTCTTGATTGCTATTATTGTTTTACACAATACATGGACTGAGAGAAACACAGGGGGGAGAGAGAAGGGAGAAAAGCGGAGAGGGAAAAATGTCTGCGTGAGCTATTGGAAAGTGAGTCATGAGGACAGGAGCCTGGGTCCTCCTAGGGTGAGAGGCCAGGGAAGAGGGGGCAGGCAGAGGAGTCTTAGATGCAGCAGCCAGTAGGGCAGGAGGGAAAGGAAGCGTGTGTTATCCCAGGAGCTGAGTGAAGAAGTGGAACAAGCAGAAGGGGGCAGGCAGGTACAGTCATACTGAGGTATCACAGCAGATGAGGACAGAATTGACCTTTGGGACTTAACTGGTGACCTTGCAGCAGATTTGAAGGAGTGTTGGGGCCAAAGCTGGCTGGACTAGGTGTAGGGAAGAAAGAAAGGAGAATCAGAGACAGTAAATGTTGATCATGCATTTAAGGATATTGCTAGAAAGGGAAGCCAAGATAGAAGATGGAAAGAGAAATAAGATCAGAGAGGAATTTTTTTGGGGGGCGGGGGAATCAGAGACCGCATGTTGGCATGCTGATAGGAAAGAACAATGGAAAGAGAACATTTTATCTTGTAGGATGGGAAGGGCAGAATTGTTGGAAAGTACTGTTGATTGTTGGGCAGAGTAGAGGGATGGGCCTTGACGAGTTGCATAGCGTTCAAGTGAGGGAGAAGGAAACAGGAGGGATGGCTGCAGGTCCTGTAGGCGAGGGCATGTGATGGTGGAACCTGTGCCGTTCTCTCCTGGTTCCCTTCCCATGGTCAGAGTAGCCTGGTTCTGATAGCTATAGAGGGGGCATTTCTTGGAACCTGAAGAATGAGAGTGAGCTTGGAAATAACTAAGCACACATCCACAAGATATGTCCTTTCTTCCAACAGAGGACTACCAGGAACTCATTGAAGACATAGTTCGAGATGGCAGGCTCTATGCATCTGAGAACCATCAGGACATACTTAAGGTGAGTACGTGTCTAATCTGGGAGATGGCATTGGCCACAGAGATCCCAGGCACCACAGGGGCTTCCTCTTGCTCTGTATTGCCACCTTTCAGGCATTGAGTCTGCTCTGGGCTGAGATCAATTTTATCTCTTCTCCAGATTTAAAAAAAAATTCATCTATTTTTAGTGCTGTCAAATGAAGTTGTATATTTAAATACATTTTCATTTTTGGAAATATATGGAGGAGCAGCAGGAAATGTGCTTGTCATAAATCCAAGCAAGCAGCATATACTGTTTTCAAGTTCCTTGACCCCTTGTTTATCCTGCAAATCCAAAGTTCACCAAATTTTAGCTACTTAGAAGTAATCCATCAATAATCACTTATATGAGGAATATAGGGAAACCAAACATAGGTTTTTAAAAAAAAGACAAAACTTGTAGGCACTATAGATGTGAGGCTTAAAGCAGGGGAGGGGGAGGAGAGGACTCAAAACAGGGGTGGGACGAGTACAAGGGACCGTGGTGATGGTTCACCAGTGATTTGGTGGTGGGATATTTTTGGGGACTACACCATTTATGGGGAGAAATCACAATTGTAAAAGTATGGACAATTATATTAAAAATTTTAAATTAAAAAAATGACATAATCATCAATAAGGACTTATATCACTAGCTCAATAAAGAGTCCCCAATCCCAGTGTGCTATCTATCTGGTTGGGAAAAGGACAATTTTTTTTGTTTTATAAATTAAATTTTCCCTTTTAAAGTAATATATGCTTACTGTAGGTAATTATGTAAAATAAAATTTGGAAAAAGATAAAGTTCAGAGGAAACAATTTTTAGTCTTTTTCAGCTATAGTCTAAAGCTGGTCATTCTAGTTCTAGTGACAAAATGTCAGAATGTTGAAATATTCTGGGTCAGTAACAAGTATTCTGGTCTTTTTAGGATAAGAAACTGATCAAGGCTCTGTTTGATGTCCTGGCCCACCCGCAGAACTATTTCAAGTACACAGCCCAGGAGTCACGGGAGATGTTTCCAAGATCCTTTATTCGATTGCTCCGCTCCAAAGTGTCCAGGTTTTTGAGGCCTTACAAGTGAGCCTGCCCCATGCCACCCTTGCAGTGTCCAGCCGGGGGCTGGTGGGACACAGCACCTGCTTCTGCAGCCAGCGTGGTTGGACATTGCTGCCTCCAGTAGCAGTGACTCGTTAGAGTTCAATTTTTGTAGATAATACAGATATTTTGGTAAATTGAACTTGGTTTTTCTTTCCCAGCATTGTGGATAGGCACAAGAATGGTTTGAGTGGCACCTGCTTCTCACTGCTGTGGGCAGACGTGCTGGACACATCCAGGGCAGGCTGAGAGGACTTGAGCCAGTTTAGGTGAAGCTCACCTGTCCTTGGTCCTTACTGCTCTTCAGCGGGCCTGGGATGGAAAGGAGGCCACAGAAGGGGCTGCCTGTCTAAAACCTTAGCTTGCTCCAGCTCAGCTTCTCCCTAAGATGCCCTCTGCACTCAGTGGGGACTCTGGCTAGGCAGAGTAGTGAGGAGGGAGGATGGGAGTAAGGGAGGAGAGGAGGGAGGACGGGCCCTTTGACCCACTTGAGACCTGGGAAGACTGTATTTCTTCAGTTTTCTCCTGCCGCTGTGACCTAGGCGCCCTGGAGTTTCAGCTCTAAGTAGTGAGCATTAAAAAACACTTAAAACAGGAAGAACTAGAAATAAAAAGATAAAAATTAGGTACTTCTACTGATACAATACCATAGACCTAATGACAACCTTCCTCATCGCCAGCTTCTACCTTGTCGTGAGTACCCGAGCCAGCTGTGGTGCCCTTGGCTATGCTTTTAGACACTGTCTGTTCTGGGCACTGAGTTAGGGCTTGGAGTTCAGTCAGGTGTGGATGGAATCACCTAGGTCATGGAAAGGAGATTCTCAAATCCTGAGTCAGTACTGCCGAGGGTCCTATTGGGCTTCCTCCATCAGGGAGCCCAAGATGCAGCCTGCAGACCAGGGGGCATGTTTGCCTCTGCCCCCACCCTCTCCTCCAGAACCCCCACCCCAGCCTGAAAAGTCAGAGGCTGACTCAGCACCAAGGCTTGAAAGGCCTTGTGAAGAGCGTGCCAGTCAGACCCCAGAGCAGCCAGGTCTTGTCACTTCTCGTCTGCAGGGCGGGGCCTCACAATCATTTTCTCCCGCAGGAGCTTGAATTTTCAGTATTACTGAATTTAAAAAAATTTAAATCCACGGGAAAAAAATTCTCATTAAAGCCAATAAAAAAGTCCTCTCAAACAAGCTGCCATTTCCCTAGTGATTAGCCTGTCTCCCTTTAGTGTTCTGTTATTTTAGTAAACTAAAGTGTGTACAGAGCTGCAGAATCTCTTTAAAAAATTCTACAAATATTTTTGAAGAAAACAAGGACAATTTCATGATTGTGAACTTAGTTTTCACCTCAGTGGGTTTCTTTTTTAAAACATTAATAGCATTGTCTTTTTCAAAAGCCTCCATCAAACTTTTTATTTGGATGGGTCCTAAATACCCATTATCAAATTTCTCTGAAAAAAATATAAACATTTTCAAATTATTTAAAATAAGCACATGGTATTTATAATACTGAAACTTGGCCTGTATTTCTGAGTCTAACTGTGTGATGAAAACTCTAATCTAATCTAGCCTGAATGACTGACCAGACTGATGAGGAGTTGGAGCCAGCTGTTCAGCACTATCCTGTCTCAGCATATTAGTCTCTTTCTGCTCACCACTGCTGATTTCACAGAAAGGCCAGGAATGGAAATACATGGGTGGGTGGAAGTAGGCTGTGTAAACCTGATTTTGCTGCCACATTCTCTGGGAGCAGGCCAGTGCACCAGAGTTGTGGTCCTGGTCCACGCCCCAACCTCTGAGGCCCTCCTGAAACTTCTGAAACTTCCTCCCTCTATCCACCAATGATCCTGTTGGGGTGACTGTGACTACCTGCTAGGTCTGCAAATATGGAACACTGCTGTGTGCCAGGCACTGTTCTAGGTCCTCAGTGAGACAGACAAGGTCACTGCTCTCACAGAGCTTATATTTTAGAGGGCGGAGACAGACCAAGAACAAACAAGTCAACCCAGAAAATGTCAGCTAGTGGTAAGTGCCATGTTTTAAAGTAAAACAAGTTAATGTCACAGATGGATATGTGGCTGCTTTAGAATTGTGGACTGTGAGTAGCCTCTCTGGGAAAGTGACCTTTCAACTGAAAACTAAATGGCAAGAAGGAACCAGACTTGTGAAAAACAGGGACAGAGCATTCTAAATAAAGGAAAACCCCATGCAAAGGCCGCCAGGCAGGAACAAAAGGTGTGTGTGTCACAGACAAGAGAGAAGGCAAGTGGTATGAGATGAGGCCAGGAAACCGGACACTTCAGTGTTGGAGTCCAGAATGGGAGATTGATTTAATTCTAAATATGTTGTGAACCTTTGGAGAGAGGTGAAGCAGAAGAGTGGGATGATCTGATTTATGTTTTTAAAAGATAGCTCTGTTTACTATAAAAAGAATGGATTTTTGGGAGCCAAGCATGGAAGCAGAGAGCAGTTAACAGCTATCACAGCCAGCCACACCATCATCCAAGTGGGAGACAGGGTTGAGGGGGAGCATAGTAGAGGCGAGAGGAGGTGTGGGGACATTGTGGTGGAAGAATCAACAGAACTCGCTAATGAGAATTGGGTAGAAGGGGAAGGGAAAGACCGTGACTGAAGGTGACTGCTGGTTGCCTGAGCAAATGGCAGATGGAGAAAACGGTAGGGGGCAGATTGGAGACATGTGACAGTTTTAGAACACGTCCATGATTCTTTGATGCGTCCATGGGAAGTTGGGGGTCTCCCCTCCCATTGAATCTGGGCTCTGTGGTTGCTTGATTAATATTATATGGCAAAAGTAACATTTCACTAGTTTCTAAGCCCAGGTATTAAGATACTGGCAATTTCTACTTCCTTTTCTTGGTAAATGCACACTGGAAACTCAGTTATCAAGCCTCCAGGAAGCCATTACAGCTTGTGAAAAGCTATGTGGAGAAGAACCAAGGCCCTCACCCACAGCCCAGCTGAGCTCCCAGGTGACAGCTGGCAACACCTGCTAGCTGCCATGTGAGTGAGCCATATTTGGAATGTAATCTAGAGCCCCAAGTCAAGCCACCCCAACTGCACAAAGCAGTCCCCACAGAGTAGTGTCAAAATTACAGACTTGTGAGCAAAATTCAAATGACTATTGTTGTTTTTAAGTCAGTAGGCTTTGAGTTTCTTATGTAATAATTAGAGACTGGAAAAGAAGACCAGGAGTTCAACTTGACCATTCTGAGATGCCAATTAAATATCAAAATGGAAGCGTTCAAATAGGCATCTGGGTATAGGAGAGGTAAGGGCTGAAATAATAATTTTAATGCTACAGAATACAGACTTGAGGTCAGTTGAGGTCAACTAAAGAAAGAATACAGGTAAAAGGGCAGGAAACTGAATTTTGAGATTCCCTGAGTGGGTATAGAAAATGGGACCATTTGCTGCTTATTGAGGAAACAGAAAGAGGACAGAGCTGAATTTCACCTTTCTAAGAGAGCTAGTTCTAGGGGTAAACTCTGAATGGGAGTGGAAGCTGTACAAGTCCTTCCTTCCAGCTGTGGATATTGTTCTTGAGCCATTCACTGAAGCTGTGCTGATGGATTTAGCAACATTTCCCTTGAGTTTCCAATGCTAATAAAAGAGTGTTTGCCTTTTCACACTAACAGATGATTATCTTCTCTTTGGAAAATTGCTTCCTCTGAATCATTCTCTGAGCTGTTAAGTGTGTCGTCTGTAGGTACTCATTGGATTTAGGTTGGCAGGTGATTTTAAAATTGTCATGTGGTAACTCAGAAAAAGCAACAGCTGTGCCTCACAAAGCCAGAACTCACTGCCTTCAGGCTGATCTTTATGGAAAGATGTACCAGGGCTGTTGCCCGCCGCAGACTGTGGCTGTTGAGAGCTATGCATTGGGAACCCAAGGACCCACGCTGTGCTCAGCCTCTATCTACTACTCAGTCCAGAAGAGTTGCCTCTTCCTAGGGCTGTCAGCTTCTCTGCTTCCTTTCATGCAGCAGGGTGGGTGGTGAGTCTCACCCAGGTATTGGGTCACCCTTAGCTAGTATTGAGAGATTAATGGATTAGGTGAGCCTGGAGTAAAGTGGCTCATCATCAGGTAGAGAGAGCCTTGTTATCTGTGGTTTTTCTTGCTAGGAAGACAAGCTGCCTTGGAATCTAGACCTTGGCCATGGCTAATGGAAGCCTGTCACAGGAAATTTGAAGACTTGGTGAGGTTTCCTTTTCTGTGACATCTTCTACCTTAGTGTCTTGTGAACCCAGCTTAGGGTTGTCCTGAATATTTATGGTACTCTACTTCTTTCTCCCTTGGAGGGGGGGTGTCCTGATCAGTCTGCAGAAGACCATCCTCAGGGATTTAATGGCCCAGCAAGGCTGCCCCTGTAATCAACAGTCACAGAGATGTAACTACTCAGTATTGATCACTTTCTAGAGAACATAGTAGGCTCAAAATACAGTAGTCCCCCTTACCCTTGGGGGGTACATTCCAAGACTCCCAGAAGATGCTTGAATTCATAAATAATGCCATAGTCTATAAATACTATGATAGTTTAATTTATAAATGGGGCACAATAAGAGATTAACAACAATAACTAATAAGATAGAAAAATTAATTATAACAGCATACTGTAATAAAAGTTACATGAATGTGGTATCTCTTAAAATATCTTATTGTACATAATGGTGTTGGACAGTGGTTGACTGCAGGTAACTGAAACCTCAGGAAGTGAAAGCAAGATTAAGGGGGACTACTGAGGATGTAGAAAATGTTCTACATTTTCCCACTAGTTCACAGGCAGGTTGCTCTTACTAAATAAAAGGGATGCAAATGAATCCACTTACAGCAAGCAATGACAGCAACTCAACATTGGTTGTCAGAATACCTCTTTAGGGGAATGTGATTACAGACCTTAGTTATGAATCAGTATATAGTGTAATAGTTGGCCATGTGTTTGCTCATCCACTCATTTAGGCATTGTATTTATTGAGGGCTTACTAAGTGCGAGAGCTGCTGATACTGTGGTGAGCAAAATGAAGTCTGCTCTTATGGAGTTTAGATTTTAACTGGTAGAGACAGAAAGTCAACATATGATCATATATTGTAACGTCAAATGTGATCAGGGTTATAAAGAAAATAAAAGTACAGTAAAAGAATAGAGCATGAGGGGTAGGAGCGGGTGAACTCATCATTGGAGTAATCTACTCCCCTCCGAGAGCACTGATTCCTCACTGGCAACTCTGGCAGCTCTGGTGCTGGTAAGCTCTGCTCAGTCAGCAAGGACATGACAGTTCATTTGACCACATGGATCAAATCTCCAAGGTGTGAACTAGTCATTTTGTATTTCCCAGAACAGGCACCACCTCGTTGGCAAGTGCAGTGGACTTGTGTTTCAGCCATCCCAGGCCTTGGAGCTTAAATGCCCTAATTCAAGACATTACCATTGTGGCTCTGGACACTAGGGCTGTGGTTTGACAACTTATTAACTGCCTGTTGTCTCATGTAGTCCTTAGAATGGATCTGTTTAGATCTTTTCCTAAACACACACATACACACCAACATCTTTTCATTTATTCTTATTACCTAGGAACCATGGTAAGTAGTATGTATGTTGCTAAGACAGGAGGAAAAAGGATTTGAAAAATGTGGAGGACATCACCCTTGTATTACCACATAGAGTTCTAAGAGATACCACCCCCCACTTCACCTGTCCTCTGATCCTCTGTTTTTTTACTTTCCTTTAAACAATTTTTCATCATTACAAAAGAAATTGACATTGATTAAATGTTAGAAAAGACTGATGAGCAAACACTAATCTCTACTAGTCATTCCTGGGTTTCCCTAGTCAGGTACCACAGACTGGGTAGTTTCAACAACAAACAAGTATTTTTTGAGTTATGAAAGGTAGAAAGTTCAAGCTCGAGGTAACAAAAAATGTGGTTTCTAGTCTTCTCTTCCTGGCGTGTAGATGACTACCTTCTCTCTGTGTCCTCATATTGCTCTAGGATGATTCTGAGGCAGTTTGGAGTTTCCTGTCTTCTACACTGTATAAAAAGCAGACATGTAAACCTACCTCAAATCTGACCTTTGGTGCTGGCTTTGTAGTGATAATAGTTGCTGAGCAGGAACCAATACCTCAGGGAGGCCAGAGCCAGCAGTGGGTGACTGATCTGGCCATGATCAGGTGGGAGAATGTGAACTGTGGCAATTCCTGACCAGGCCTGCTGTGCTTAGCCCTCTGCAGCCTTGTGGGTAGTCACTATTTGTGACACAATCTGGTCACTGTCACCTGGTGCCAATGTAGCTGGATGTATATGCAAAGCAAGTATCTGTGCCCAGAACTCCAGTGTTAGATCCAGGTGACCTGACCCAGGCAAGCAGTTTTTTTTTGTTTTTGGTTTTTTTTTCCAGGCAAGCAGTTTTAGCAACCTCATTGGACTGAAGCTGGCAGTTTGGGTGATGTGGGACATGTAACAGGCTTGGTAAACCCTTACTCAGAGCTTCTCATGTGGAACTGAGATGACTAAAGTGACATTACTCACACAATATCTCCAGCCAGCATTCCTAATGTACTTTTCTGAGGTGCATTCTCTACTTCCGTGACAGATTGCTCTAAGATTTATGTTTCATAATGTGCTAGTTTTTTTCCAAGATTCTCTGCAGTACCAGGATTTATATCCCAACTCTGCTACTTAGCCGTGTGACCTTGCACAAGTTACTAACCTGTGTCTCAGTTTCCTCATAAGGTAAATAAAGATAATGATTGTACTTACCAGATAGGTTATTGTGAGAGGTAAATGACTCTTAATGGAAAAATTCTGGGAACACTGCTTGCAATGTAGTGAGAGCTCAATAAATGTTAAGTGTTTTTACCATCATTATTACCTTCCTCTTCTTGAGACTTGAGAAGTTAAATCTAAGGTCCAATTTTTAAGTGGGCTCACACTCTATGGGTTTTTCCAATTTCACAGAAACAAAAAGTCCTTTAGTTTACAGACTTTCTACTGGGGTGTGTTCTAGAAACAGAAGAGTTAGAGAGTTATAGCTTGGAGCATGAATGAAAGGTCACAAAGACTGATTTGGTTCTTCTGTAAGACTTTCTAAAAATCCCTGTCCTCCTGAACAGGGGAGGTGGAACGTGAGCTTCTAGTCTCCTAAGACTGCTTTCTTCCAGTCAGGAACAACACTCACCCACAGAGACCTATCAAATTCTGCATCTTTCCTTACTGCCAATGCTCAGCCCCTGATATGCGAGAATCATCTTGTTGCTAAGCCCCGAATCGCACATTCTCTAGAACTGCTTGTCTCAAGTTTGATGTTTCCTGCATGGTCAAGTCCAACTTCGAATTCAGTGGAAGTAATGCTCAGATTTTAAGGCAAATATGGCCAATAAAGTAACTCACTTGGGCAGGATGTGAACTTGAGGCACAGAAGGAATTTGAGGAATTCTCATGGGCCCTCATGGCCAGTGGGCCAAAGCTCCTGAATAGATACAAGGACAGAGGCCAGGTGGATCTGACCACCAAACAGCATAAGCCTAGGAGAGAACAGAATGCAAAGTGAAGTGTGCCTATGGAGTGTAGACAGCCCGGAAAGAGAATTTCATCATTAAAAAAACATGAATGGGAGAGAAAATAAACCAACAATAATATAGTGGAGAAATCAAGCACTTCTACAATGAGATGACCAAAATCAGCACTTTCAACAAAAGACAGACAGATGGACATTACTTGACTCCAGTTGTGATACCCCAAGAAGAACCTACCCAGTAATAAGGCCAAGAATGGGTAATCTCAATCTCAACACTAGGAAACTGCAGATAAACACAAAATAAGGAACATTCTGTGTTAAAAAGGTAGGGGCAGTTGAAAAACAAATAACTCGGTCATCAATAAAATAAAAATATTTTGTGTTTCAAAGGTTGCCATCAAAAAAGTGAAAAGGCCACCCATAGAAAATGAGGAAAATTTTGCAAATCACATGTTTGACAGAGGACTTGTAGACTCTGTGGAAAAATATGGTAGCTCCCAGGGAGGAGAGCAAGGGGAGGCAGGATAGAGGGGCAAGTTGATAATGTATTGGCAGTGGAGGTGGAGAGTGAGGGGAGTGCATGCGCATATTGGGGTGTGAAGCTGTAATCCTGAAGTCATAATTTTGTAAACAAATGGCAAACACATAAAATTTGATTTGAAAAAATGAGCAGGTGATATGCTCATTTATTCTCTTTAGAAAATTATTGGCTAATAAGCACATGAATGAGATGTTCACCCATCATTTGTCAGCAGGGAAATGCAAATCAAAACCACAATGAGATACCATTTTATCCCCAATAGGATGGCTATAATCAGAGAGATAGATAGTAAATGTTGGTGAGGATGGAGAAATTGGAACCCTCCTACACTGCTGGTAGGAATATAAACTGGTAAAAAAACACTTTGGAAAACAACCTCTTAGTTCCTCAGAAGGTTAAACATATATTGTAATATGATACAGCAATTCTACTTCAAGAGATATGAAGATGTATGTCCTCACAAAAACCCATACATGGACATTTAACAAGATAACCAGAATGGAAACAACTCAATGTCTACAACTGGTAAATGAAGAAATGCAATGTGATTGGTAGATATACATACACACGCACACACATACATACATACTGGATATTATTCAACCATAAAAGAAGTACAGCTGTCTGCTATAATGTGGATGAAGCTTTAAATTATTATGCTAAAATGAAGAAGCTAGACAAACAAGACCATATCACATGATTCCAGTTATATGAAATGTCCAGAATAGGCATAGATACAGAGATAGAACCTATAGATTGTGTGTTGCTTGGGGCTAGAAAGTCTGGGGAGAAATAGGAAGTAGCCCCTAAAGGGTGCATAGTTTCTTTGGAAGTCATGAAAATATTCTAAAAGTAATGTGGTAACAGTTGTAGAACTCAGAATCTACTAATAAGTCATTGAATTGTGTACTTTTGAGTAGATAAATTTATGACTGTGAACTATCAATCAATAAATGGTAATTCTTTTAATGGAGGACTGTACGCTTCAAAAATGGAGATGTCATAAAAGACACAGCTGTGAAAACATTCCAGATTCAAGGTGGCTAATGAGATATGACAACCAAATACCTGACCCTATCCTGGATCCTGCAATGAGGAACGTCATAAAGAACACTAAGTCAACTGAGGAAAATGGGGACTTGATCAATAATTTAAGTAAAAGTATAATGTAAATTTATGAAGTTTGTATCAGTACTGTGCTTATATAAAAGAAAATTGCCCCCTTTTTAGGAAATACACAAGGAAGTATTGATAAAAGATCATCATAATGTCACTTATCCTAAAATGGTTCAGAAAAAAGGGTGTGTGTGTGTATGTGTGTTGGAGAAAGTAAATGATATAGCTAATGATGTATACTACCAAATACCAATTTTTATTGTTTTTATATTATTTTTCATATTGTTCATAGTGTTTTTAGCTTTGCAATTTTTTTTTTGTAAGATTGAAGTTGTTTCCAAATAAAAAGTTTAAAAATAATCACAAATGACTTCTCCCAGGGCAGTGCAGAGCTCTGTAAAAATAGGTCAGGAAGA